CTTTCGCTGGGAAGAGGTGATTTCTCCCTTTCTCCATCTCCTCAGTTTTCAAACATAATAAGGGCAATTCAGTCATTAGGCCAAAAATCAAAATTCCAGATTGGTACCCAATGCCTTATTTGTCATTTTGCTTATTCAGGTGCCTTATTTGTCTTTTTGAAATTCACATGGTATTTTACTGTCATTTTCCCTTAAAAAAATTAGCTAAATTATTATTTGTAATAAGTGCATATTGATTTTTTTAAATTAACTTATTTAATTATGTATATTGACATTACCTCCTAGTAGAATCCATTATAATTAATAAGAATATTTTAAAAAAAAATTATAAATTTATGAAATGAAGTTGATTGAAATTTTATATTTGGAACTAAATACAACTCCAAACTAGTTTTTATATTTAAGACTGAATGTAGTATATATATTATTTCTTCTGCTTCATAATATAAGAACAAGATAACTAATTTATGAATATTAAAAAAAAATTAGTTGAATTAGTTATTTATAATAAATACTCTTCCAGTCTTAAATATAAGACTCATTTTAATATATATACTATAAAACGAGTCTTATATTTAGGATAGAAGAAAGTATGTACTAGTTTCTCTAATGTATTGTTTTTAACCATGCTATTTAGTGTATGTAAATCCATAGGATACTTTAGGAAAAAAATTATAAACTTAAGAGGTGGATTAAAACATCAAGTGCATATAGTTCTGTCCATCTAAATAAATCAAGTTCAAAGTCTCACATTCTGCAGGAAAAGACACAAGATCTTAACCATGCCTGTTATCTGGAATTCTTATTAAATTACTGCAAAATGTAAAATGTAAAATTACCTTAACAGACAGATGAAGAAGACAGAATTTGAAGCTCTATCACTTACGTTAAAGAGGGAACAATCTCGTACGTCAAGAAAACCAGGAATCTGAAATCTATATATATATTAAATAAAAATCAGAGTCAAGCTGAGCCATTTTCACCCTCATTGTGGCTTCTCACTTAATTTACTGTTCTATGAATAGTATCAGCTTATGAATAGTACCCGGCTCATGATTTGGGCTGCGTGCTTTTTTTTTTTTAAATTTTTGCGTGTAATGAAGTGATGGAGTGAATGAGTCTTCTTATGTCATGTTTTTTAGTAGCTTAGAGTGTGTCAGATTCTTTACAGTTCACACCTACCACATGGCTTGCAGATTTCAATTTTTTTCTCTTAAAATTCAAAGCTCAATCTCTCTTTCCTTTCCCCCTCATTTTTTCCTCTCTTTACCAAACCCGACATTAGAGAGTGGGAGAAAATTTTTCTACAGGCTTCATTCAGTTCTCCTCTGCTCAAGTCACTGCTTCCCCCATAATCGCCGGTGTGCGGGCGAGCCTTAGTCTGCTCGCTTGGGATGCTGTAGTCACCAGATCCTTTCCTACTCCCCCTATTGGGATCAGTATCTGTGGGTTTTGGAGGATTCTGCCGTAGTATCTCCTCCTTTTCTCTTCCTTCTTCCCCCTCACACAAGTGCGTACTGGGTGTGTCGTTTCTGTGCCATAATCACCGAGGTCTTCTTCTTCCTCCTCTATTCTGTATATTTGCTATTTTGTGGGTGTGGGCGAAACTTCAACCTTCTCATTCCCTTTGTTCTTCCTTTTAGTTGCATATGCGTGCAGCTCCCTCCCTTTGATTTCTTCTCCTTTCAGCTGCAACCTTTCAAATTTCTAAACCGCCTTCATGTTCTCTGTCTTCTTCATCTTCTTCTGTGAACAACTTGCATGGTGCCAACTTCAGAGGTACTGCAAATTGGGGAGCTACACATTGTGAGTGTTTTACACACAGTCTATTATTTTTCTTAGTAAGGTGGGCTTCTTACACCTTGACAGACATGGTCTATTCTTTTTTGTAGGTGGAAGCTCCAAAACTCCGATGATAGTAAATGTCTGTCCAAATGTTAAAAATTTGTGTAAGACATGATCATCTCTCAATTTCTCCACCATAACTTGAAATTTTGTATTAAGCCTAGGAAATCGAGATACAATTAAGAAGTGCAGAGATGTTGTAAGTTCTTCTGTGACCTGCTTCCTTCTGTGCAAATGATTTCATGCTATACTTTTATGCCTAGATTATAGATATGAGTACTTTCATCAATATTACTTTCATCGGCCAATGCTTGAAATGTATGTATTTGCATCTATCTATCTTGAAGGTTTAACAATAAGATTACCGTCATCACTTCAAATTTTGTGGAAAGTAATTTAGTATACTATCTCCAGTTCAAAATAATTGTTGATTTTAAATTATGCTCAAGGATTAATAAATTTAATATAGCCTAGAGTGCAATAATATCTAATACTATTTGACTAAAACAGTCTTAATTTTCTATTTTGTATTTGACTTTTTCTCCATTGATTTACTAATGAAGGATAAAATGGACATAGTAATTAATACTTTATTGAAACTTTAAAGAGAAATCGTTTTGAAACAACACATGAGCTTCAAATTAGCAATCATTTTGAAACAGAGGAAGTGATAACTTATTAACCAATTGAGTCTTGGAAATGGTGTCAGGAAAGAATTCTGGTTTGGCTTCTATCTAGGCTTGCTACTTAATCAAATTTATATGAGGAGGAAAAGTGTAATTTAAGGCCTACTTGGAGTTCATTATATTCCCCCATTGTATACACGCTCAGTAAGTGTGAGTGGGAGGCTTGTAAAAAGTGTAAAAAGTGTTTTACAGCAAGAGAAGGAAGCTTGGAAGGACTTTGAGGCCATGAAGGGTGTGAGTAAGCTAGTGTGTGTTGTTTAGTATGCTCTTGTGAAGAGTGTTCAAGGTAAATGGGTTACTAGATGAACTTTAACGTGCTGTAATGAGATTATGATTCAAAGATGTTCAATTAGGGTAATGTCTTAGAATCATGATTGAATAAAATGTTCTTTTTTGTTTTTTGTTTAACAGGATGTTCATGCCTCATGAACTATACAAATGCTACAAGGGTTTTTTGGAATCCAAGTCCACCATATGAGGAGGGAGCCGCTGAAGGAAACTGGGAGGAATTGAGCTGTTTAGGACGTACAGAGGTGTAGTTTGAAATTAGAATGTGTAGGCTATGTATCTAGGATGGGATGTGGCCTTTATTGCCTGTACCAAGTATGTAATCACACCTCTTTTGTTGGTAGGGTTTGAATGCCGGCCATGTATATATCCACCTGTGATTATAATTTTGTGGTTTAATATGTGCTTGGTCTGTGCCACATTCGTATGTTTAATATGTATTTAGCATGTAAATATGTATGGTTTGAAGTAATGAATACTTTTTAATATGTACTTCATTTTGTGTTAGTAAATGTTCTTGATCTTCATAATCAGGATGACTACTATTGATTAAATATATTAATTCGATGCTTTAAGTTTATGATTCATAAGTTTACACAGCTTAGAGCTAATGAAAAATAGCATGGATATATGTTGCTTTACATGAAAAGATAAACTATTAATGTAACAATTTAATTTAATAGTGTATTTAGAGATTATACATTTATAAAAGTGAATCAGAAAATATTTTTGTCATGCTTTAACAGCTAAAGTAGTAGTCCTGGTTTAATTAGTTACCAGATACCATGTTCAAGTAAAAAGATACATTGTGAAACTTGAATGTTTAGATATTAAGTGTGGTTGTGCGAATTGTCTTTTTCATTGGCAGAAGGAAGTCCTCGCCTCCAACTATCTTTTGGACTTTTTCGAAGTCAATGTAGGTACAGAGAAGAAGCTGCTCAATGGCGTGTTTTGTTTGTTAAAGTACTTGCTTGAGTTTTTTGAGTTTTTTGAGTCCCGGAGTACATTTGAGAGCTGTCAAGGAATGGAGTTCACCATGGATGGTAGACTGACAAATTATGCGTGCATTCAGTTAGTTTTTCATCATGATTGTGTTTCAATGTGAAGGATCTTAAGTAACATATCATCTTTCCATTGCCTAATGATGCATGGCTCTGAAAATGTTAAGGTATGTTAAGATATGTCAGGATTATGAGGACCTACAACATGTTTACTTTGGTTTTGCAGTATTGCACTGATAGCAATTTTTGCTGGCTTTTCTTGATCATTCTGGGAATGATAAGACGTGATAATGCACTGTTTTGGATGCAGTCAGTCTTAAAAATCATGAAATACTTCTTGAATATGTTTACTCAATCTATCTAATTATGATTTGTGAATTGATACGTGGTGTTTTTCAACTGTTCATTGTAGCATTGACGTCTAGATTTTAGTTTAGATATCGATAGTATTTTAAGATTTTAGATGATTGACATCCAGGAAAAGAATTACTGTGATCTAAAATTACCTATCTATTTAACGTGTGCTTATGTTGAAATAAAGTCATCCGTTGCATTTTGAAAAAAAAAAGTCTACTCAAATTCTGATGGAAAACAAATGCTGTAATATTTAATGATTAATGAATAATATATTAATATATTAGTTTTTGTATTTAACTTGGGTTTCTTTTTCTTAATTTTTCCGTCATTCTTTTTTCTCTTAATGATGCTTAGATAAATGACTCTCATTTTTTGATATGGATACCACCATAATGGGCTTTGATTTCTGAAGAAATTACTCAATCCATCTAATTTATGTCGTCGTTATTGATTATGCAGTTTTGAATTTTTTTTCCCTGTTTGTACAGTTCGAACTAATTCATTTTTAAATGCTTCATGATTTTACACATAAATTGGCGAGCATAAATTTATAAGGACGGTGTATGATGGCACATGTAGTTCATATGTTCTGTTTTTTCAAATGAATTTAATTTCATCATGCATGGAAGATATTATTTTTGTTCAATTTAGTGTTGAATCCTATTTCAGTAAAAACTAATTTTCGAATTTAGATCCAATTAATTAATTACATTGATGATGGAGGAGTGGGGATTGATTTTTGCGGCAGCAATTGTATATCATGAAAGTCAATACTACCCGTGCATCGCACGGGGTAATTTGCTAGTTAATTACTGAAATGAAAATGTGTGCGGGAGCGGAGGGGGGAGATTCGGTCGGCAAAATGAATGCGACGGTAGGTTTGTGACCGTGTATGGTCATGGAGACGACGGTGGCCAACATATTTTACAAATTTTGGCGGGTTATATTGCACAGGAAAAAGTAAGAAAGATAATTGAGTGACCAATAGGCGCTGTGGAGAATCTTAACGTTCACGAATTCGGCAGAACCCAAGCAAAATAGTTTGCCACCTACAATTCAACGTTAACGGTAACCAGAAGTCCAGAACTACCATTCTTCCCTTTCAGATTTTAACTGAGTCAACATGCCGCAGAAATCCCTTTTCCTCTCTTGCTTTTCTACGCTATCATCTCTTCTTCAACCCGGCCGATTCGTCTCCCCAAACGCACTCATAAATCATACGCCATGATCAAAGGCAAACTGAAGCTTCCTGCTCCAGACAAGCCCCGAAGCGTGTTCCCCGACCGTCTGGGCAGCTTGGTCTCCGGTTATGAGGGTAGGGATGACGGAATTGAAGGATCCGACTGCGAATTCGAATCGGGCAAAGAGTTGGAGCCCATTCAACCCAATGCGTTAGGGTGTGACCAGGAAGGCGATGTTGATAATGAAAATTATGATGATCAAGTAGACTCAAATGTTCGGCAAAGGCCTATTAAAGATGTAGTAAATCCGGTTTCAGTGTTGAAAGCTATTGTGATGGACGAGAAAAGGTCCGATCTCGAACATGAGGTGAGGGTCTGACATGCAGTATGAATTTTTGGGGCTAATTTACTTTTGCGAGTTGCACATTTTTTTCTTTTTGCGAAGAGGAACTTATGGTGTTGTATTTGATCATCGAACCATCAAATCTCTCTTTGGTCCCGGTTGCTTTCTTCATCCAGCTTTCTCAGAGGGAAATTAACATGGAAAAGTTGCAAAGAATTGCGAATACCGGCGTTCCTGATGGAGGAAGTTTGCGAGCAACAACATGGAAGGTAAATACCGCATGTTGTTGGGAGCTCGTTTCTTTCTTCCCCCGCATTTTCACTTGTGGGAAATTATCGCTGAAAATGCTTCGATCCCACTTGCTGCTTCAAGCGTTTAGATGTGAGAGATTATGAATGCTAGCCATAGTTGGCATTATTCATATTTGAACTTCCCTCCCTCTTACCTTGAAACTTCTTGCACCATTGAGAAATAATGTGGTGTTATGGTGATACAATGTGGTTAGACATCCATTCACTGGTGTTCCGAAGCCTTCATCTGGTACCTGGTAAACAATAAGTTCATAGAATACTTAGTCATGAACTGGGAGTTGAGCAAATATCAATTTTTGCCCCCTTCATTCAGTATTATGCAATTTAGTACATCGAAAATTAGCAAACAGTAACAAATACATCTTGTGATACAATCATTTTCTGGATCTATAGATACATAATTCTTCATTAAGGCCTATATTTTGGACACCATACATGGATATCATAATATGCATGTATGTATTTATGCTTGGTAAACCCTTTGCAAAGAGCCTGGAAAAATTACCCATGTAGACTTTCCGTGATTTGATACCTTCAGTTTGCATTTAACGTGTATATTAATGTTGTATTGCTAAAGGGACTTTTAAAATATCTGATTGATTAATTCTGACATCTGTTAATTCTATTATAGTCAACAGTACACTTGCACTTATTTTCCCTTTTCAAGAATATAAATTCCTTTGATCGTGGTTATGTTCTGCATACAAGCAGCTGATTGTCCTGCTATAATTTTCGCAACCAGCTACTCCTGGGTTACTTACCTTCTTCTCGTGAACTGTGGGACAAGGAGTTGAAAGAGAGTAGGGAAAAATATGCTAAGTTGAAAGAGGAGATCCTCCAGAATCCTGTAAGAAGTTGAATTTTCCTTCTTGTTACAAATTATATACATACTTCCTTCAGTCCTATACATAAGTTACAATTTTTGGGATGGAGCTTTTTGTAAGTTACACCTTGTACTTGTATGAAAATTCAATTCACTTTTTTCATTTTTCTCCCAATTAATTACATGTCTATCTCATCTATTTTTCCCTCTTATTATCTCTCTTACCCTTTCCATAAATAAGGATATATTTGGGGGAAAAATACATTTCCTACACGTTTATTATTTTTAACCAATTTAACCAACTTTTTTTTATCTACGTAATTCGGTTATTTGTAACTGGAGGGGGTATTTTATTTTAACAAATGCATTTGGTTTTGTATTTTAGCTCTTCATTTTGATATTGGTCAACTTTTGCATAAGACAGCCTGAATGTACCTGGAAGCAAGAGGGAGAATCAAGTTCTGGGTTGCAACAGGAGAATAGTGATATTGATGGAACACTTAGGAGACATGAAATTTCCGAGCAAGATCACCCTCTAAGCTCATGTAAGGCTAGTCTTTGGCGTGAATACTTTCAGGTAAATTTCTTCTCCATTTGAAACCTCATTGTGCCTACCTGCGTGCTAATGGAGTCAGTATGCATTAATATCATTCCCTCTAATAGTATACAGAGATGGTAGCACAGATAGATCGTGATCTGCTACGTACTCATCCAGACATGCCATTCTTTTCAGGGGATTCATCATTTAGTCGGAGAAATAAGGTACCTACAGCTTTAATAAATATAAAAAATGGGTTGAAGTGCCTTTTTTTGCCTTGTAAGTGTTTTGATATCGGCTATGGGCACCATAAAGAAAATTGTGGAAAAATATAGTCCATAATCTTTCAAAACCAGTGAAACGTTGCCGTTTTTTAACTGTTGCCGTTTTTTAACAGCTAACGTTTGAGTAATCAAAAGTCCTTCAACTCACACTAATGGTCGACTGTTTGAAAAAGGCTAACGTTGCACCAGTTTTGGAAAATTATGGGCTACATTGCTGTATAATTTTCTTCATGTATCCATAACTCCTCAGACGAGACAAAAATGCACATTGACCTTGAAAAATTAAGAGAAAATTTAATCTCTTCTTTGTTTACTTCATCTTGAAGTCAGAGATTATAAGAATCTCAACTCTGAATGAAGCCCTTCTTGTTATTTTAACACAGGAAGCAATGAAGAATATTCTTCTACTTTTTGCAAGATTAAATCCTGCAATCCGATATGTGCAAGGCATGAATGAAGTCTTGTCCCCAATATACTATGTGTTTAGTACTGACACTGACAAGGAAAATGCTGTAAGCACTAGACCTTACTGCTTTGTTCTGTGATCTACATAGTAATTGTTGTTTTTATGGAATAGTTGAATTGGTTGTTTTCCATTTAGGCAAATGCAGAAGCCGATAGCTTTTCTTGTTTTGTTCGAATCTTAAGTGATTCAGTAGATCATTTTTGTCAACAATTGGATGACAGTTCAAGCGGTATCCTTTCTACTCTTTCCCGATTGTCAGAGTTGCTACAAATAAATGATGAGGAATTATGGCGTCACCTTGAATTTAAAACAAAGGTAGAGAACCTTTGACTTTGAGTTTCCCCCCTCTATATCCTTTCACTCACTTGCAGTTTGTTTCTTTCCTTGCTTAAAATCATGCTCTTAGCAGCATAGTACTCCTTCCGTTCTTTATTATAAGAGACATTTGATGCTTATGATATGTTCCTATATATAAGAGACACTTAAAAGTTGTCTCTATTTTTTTGTGTTGATCTCTCACTTTACCCATATTTATTGTCTCCAGTTCACACTCTCTCTCCCTCCCACTTTTCTTTCTTTTAATAATTTAATTGTTCTCTCTCATGCTCTCTCCTCTTATTAATGAGGGCATTTTTGGAAAAAAAATTATATTTTTTACACATTGATTGTTTTTAACTAACTTTAACTGTTTTTTTTATTAACGTAATTCGGTTATTTGTCTCTTATAATAAGGAACGGAAGGAGTATCAGTTAAGGTTTGTAAAAATAATGTAATATTGTGTTTATTAGACTTAGTAGTTGGTAGTCAGTAGTTGGCATTTGTTCTAGGCTTCAACTTTGTGTGTGTGTAAAGCATTGTATCAAACACTAAAATAAATGAGAGAAATATTCATTCCATATTCCTGCTCGATATGGTATCAGAGCATAGGAGATCACAACAGTGTAGGATGAAGTTTAGGCATTGCTATTGTACATGGACGGATAAATGGATAGAAAAGCGTCTAACCTATTCCTAGCTCGCAGAACCTAGCAAAGAAAATGGACTAGAAATTGAGTACGGGAGGAAAAAACAAACCTCCGGAACCCCATCCTACACCAAAACTACAACCAATTCCAAAACCTGAAAACACAAATTCATAACCAGGTAGAAACTAAAGACTTGGAATTTACAGAAATCTTGATACCAAAACACCACAAAGGAAACTCCCAGGAAATTAAGGCATGCCAAATCCAACACCAGCACCGGTGAAGTTTGCAAGAACCATTTCTTTCCGGCAAAATGGCACAAGCAAAAGCATGGGGCGGATGGAGTTTTAATCTTATAGCATTCAACTTTTTATTCAATATCTTGTCTGTTTTCTGACATTGATGTCTTGAAACTTCATGAACAGGTCAAACCACAATTCTATGCATTCCGGTGGATCACATTGCTCCTAACACAAGAATTCAGTTTTGACAAAATCTTGAGAATATGGGATACACTATTAAGCAATCCTTTTGGTATACAGGTCTCTCTCTCAATCTCTCTCTTAAGTGTTCAACTACCAGTTACAATAAATTAGTCATGATATGGTCATCTTTCTGTATATATATCATCAATATGAAGCTGTTTCTTTTGCAGGATATGCTGCTTCGTATTTGTTGTGCAATGCTACTTTGTGTGAAAAGAAGACTAATGAGTGGTGATTTTGTGAATAACTTACAGCTTTTACAACACTATCCTGATGATATCAATATAGAATACCTCCTCCAGGTAGCTCAGGATATCAGTCCTGACACATCATCTAATTGTTTATCCATGTGATTTATACGTGCACCTTTTTATGCAACTAATATCAAGTTTTCCTCCTTTTCAAAAGTGGTTGCTTTATCATCTATAACACGCAACACACAAACCCATTACTCACGTTTCCAAGGATTCCAAAAGGAGGAAGCAGAATTTAGTTATGCATGCCGCCTTAAAAAGGATCTTTTGGTTTTATCAATTTATCCAGTATTTTTAAAGTAGGATTAGTTAGTTAGGTCATGGTTCATTCACCGGTCGAACCATATTGGATGCGAGAAGGAGGCAATTAGAAGAGAAGGACCAAAGGTGGAACAGATAGAACATTGGTTGGACTAAAGTATATCTAAGTGGAATTTTAATTATTTGAAGCAGAGAGGGTTGTGCGATGGAGCAGAGAAAACTTAATGCGAGTAATTAGGGCTTGTGGTCGGGAGGAAGAAGACGGCCTTGCAAGTTATTAGCCCTGAGAAGGCTTCATGTGAGCGATTGGGACAGGCGAGTTGAAAGAATCCTCCATGGAATCTTTATCAAGTGACTCAAACATGGTGCGGGTTTTCCTGTAATGGTTTGGTTAGTCGCCTTGTCAAACTTGAAAAAAACAATACTCTTCCGGTCTTTAATATAAGACTTATTTATTTAATTTAATTAGATTAAAAAAATTATGTAAGGTAGTTAATTATAAAAAATATGATATGTTTTTCTTAAAACATCATAATTATCTTTCTTACTATCTTCTCTCTTTTATTTATTTGATTATGGTTTATGGAGTATTTATAGAGACAATTTAGAAAACATTGATAAATATGAGAAATATTTCTTATATTTAGGATCAAAATTAATTTACAATTAGGTTTTACATTAAAAACCAGAGGAGTACTTGAATTCAGGGTCTTGTGCATAAGATGGCCATAACACCCTTTTTCTTCTGCATCTCATTCTCACATATGATTCTCAGAAACACATTCGTAGAATGACACAAAACTTCAAGTCCTTGAAAGTGTTTAGAACCCTACTAGGTCCTATATTTGCAAAACTCCAATATTGCTGAACAGATGCAGAGAATCGGTTAACCCAATATTGTTGAGATATCAAAAGGTTAGAATTTTCAAGTCATTTTTTAACTTTATACTACCTCCGATCCTAATTATAAGAGCCAGTTGACTAATTTAAAAAGATTAAGGAAGTAAGTTGAGTTAGTTATTTGTCCTAAATAAGTATTGTCTTTCCTAAAATATCTTTGCTAATAAAGCATATTGACTAGAACTATCATTGTTAAAAGGGCTATTTTGGAAAAAAAAAAGTATAAATATGAGAGACAGAGTGGATTAGGGTTTTATATTTAGGATCAAAATAAAAATCAAACAGGGTCTTATATTAAAGACTGGAGATAGTAGCTAGGAAGTAGAAAACAAAAAAAAACTGGAAATACAGATTCGCGACTGAGTCATTGCCAAATGGAGTGAAGTACTAATTGAAAAATGAAGTGCGTTGGAAGGAAGAATGGCAATAGGTTGCTGCATCAAAGATAAATGGAGACTGATAAGGGGGTCGCCATGGTCGTTTTACACTGCTTCAAATAACTAAAATTCCACTTGGGTAGGATGTGGCAATTTTAATCCATCTAGCCACCGTAATAGCCACCTTGCCATCCACGCTGCGCTCGGTCAACTTCCAACTCATTAGTTTTGACTGTTATAATGGTTTTTATCCTTCGGGATGTATGTTTATAACAGGTCAAATTAGGAGGACTCAATTCAAATACAATAAAGTGCAAGAACTTGATTCAAAATGGTGATGAACTATAAAGACCTTCGATTCAATTAACTATAAAGGCCTCCGATTCAATTTTTCCTATACTTTAAATTTCAAACTACTAGTCGGCAACCTAATGGTTTAAATCCCCTCTTTTCTTGCTTGTTTGGCGGGAGGGGTGGCCCCACATTTTGCTAAGAAAGTTATCGATACCTTCTTGCTGTTAGTGTGCCATTTGTTCAGAAATTTGAAGCATACGTCTCTATCCAACTAAATAATTACACCCACGGAGCTAAATCAAATTCAAAGTTGGAGTCAAAAAGAGTGAATTTTAGGAAGATTTGCTAGTTATATAGCCTGCACCGCGGTGAAAACCCCTGCCAATTATCTTGAATTCTTGTTAAATTTAAAACAGGTTTCAACATGAGTATTTGCATAGCATAGTTAAAGTATCTTTCTCAAATATCGCCTACGGAAAATTTTCTGAGTGATCATGGAAAATCGAACTCAAAACTTACAAAATGAAGCCAATATGCTCTAGCCAGCAAGCCAAAAGTTCTATAAGCTCACCTACAGGAAAATTTTGCCACAAATGATGTCTATTTCCAATCCATGGACCTCAATAACAAAGCCCAAGGGAAAAATCAACGAAACTTTATTTGACATTGTTACATCAATAGGTCAGAGTAAAACTGCCTTAGTGGAATTAAATTAGCAGAGTTTCAGAAAAGAGGCCAGCCAAGCTGGAAGATAACAAACAGATGAAGATAGAGTTCTAAGTACTCCAAGCTCTATTAATGGGAGCACAGTTTCAAACATCACAAAGAAAATGCCTTAAATTGTGAACCAAGAATCTGAAACTAGTGAAGAGGTGACTAGGGACTATGCGTAATTGCATACAAACTGTTTGATCTAGTTCTTGCCAAAAGTCAAATTAATAGCATGAACAACTCCATCAAAACTATCAAACTTTGAACTTACCACATCAACCTTCACTCCCAACCTCTCTGATCCTTCCTTTGTCACCGGCCCATGTGATGCCACAATTAGTTCTGGGCACATGTTCTTCAATCCGTCAAAATCCAATCCCAATTCCTTCAAGCTCTTCAAAAACCCCTCGACCTCAGCGCTACTCGTGAAGACGAGCACATTCAATCGCCCCTCCTCGGCTCTCTTCACAATCCCCTCTGCACACCGTGGCCCCGCCCATCGTGTCTCGTAGGCATTCACTCTAACTGGGACCCACCCGCCGCCATGGAGCTCTCTGATGAAATTTGGGACCACCGGAGGCTCTTCCAGCCCCACAACAAGCGGAACCGGACACAAGACCCTCCGGCCACCGCCGACCCCAAGAGACTCCACCAAGCCACTCGGTGTCGCCGTGGGTGGCACAAGAACCCGAATTCGTTCCGAATTATCGCACAGCTTCGAGACAAAGTTAAGGTCGATAAGCTCTGAGTCTTTTCCAAGAGCCGCGATGGTAAAGGTATCGCCGGAAGGTGACAACGGTGGTTCTACGAGATTCACGGCAGCGTCTGAGAAAGCATGGATTGCGGTTCTGGAAGTGAAGGCGATGGCGGAGAAGTGGTCGAGGGTGTGAGGTGATAGGTAAGGTTTGAACATCGAGATGGTGTGGGGGGTGGGTTCGACAATGAGAGTGGGACACCAAAAGGGATCATAGCCGTTGAGGGAGAGGATGTGGGAAATTCTGGCCGCATAATTGGGCGGCGTCGTGAATGCAACGGTGGGCTTATCACCGTGTGGGGTCATGGAGACGACGGTGCTCAGATGGGCCAGCATATTGGACAAATTTGGCGGGTCAACTGTAAAATTTTGAACTGGAAAAAGGCGGAAGGATAATCGGGCGTTCGCGAAAAGACAAATGATGGTTTTCTATTGGAGAGTGATCGTCTCTGATTGGTAGCCTTCACCTCCACGGCTCCTCCTCCTCCTCCTCCTCCTTTCACGGAAGGGTCAAATTTGTTAGACAAAGCTTATCGCTGATGCACGGGGTTGGAATCTGGAAGAGAAGTAGGCCTTCGCGTAGCCATCAGCCATAACCTCGATACGGATTAGTTATAGTGGCCAATAGTCCTATGGATAATGAATGTAAAAGCAAAAATAAGATGCTTGGAAATATTGACACTTTATGCACTAGCGCATTACATTGTTGTATTGAACTTTTGGAGGAGCTTTTTTTCACCAAAAAAAAAAGAGGAAAACTTTTGGAGGAGTTTTGACATGAAATCATGTAGTTGCAAACTATAAGGTGTTTAGATGAAATCAAACTATAGTTTAAAAAATAACTTTTGAAGAACAGATCTTTTGAAAAATAAATTTTGTAAAAAAGTGATTTTGATAAAATGAGAGTGTTTGGATAGTTGTTATCAGAAAAACTTTTTATATGTGCAAATTATTAAAAATAGCATAAATTAATATGATAATTACATAAAAGATAGATTTTATAATATATTTTAATTTAAAAGAATAAAATTGTTAATAATATATTTTTTACTAACATAATTAATAATATATAAGATAATGTAATTAATAAATAATTAATATGTGTATATATATTTATAAATTATAAGATTAAATATATTTATAGAAAAATAATTGAAGGATGTTAAAGTCATATTACCATTGGAATCTATTCTAACAGGCACAATCATACTCTCCAATTTGAGTCAGAAGCAGAATGGATTTACTTTTTTTTTTAAACTATGGTTTTGAGCCCAAAATCATGGTTTGCTGATTTCCCTTTTGTTTGGCAAATTTTTGATCCAAATCATGATTTGGGTCCCAAAATCATGGTTTTAACCATTTGCCAGGCAAACAAACAGACCCTATGTAAATTTTATATAGGATTAATATAACTTTCCATCCCTCAAACTTACTCTTATTTTAATTTTGATTAATTAACTTTTAAAAAAAGTTAGATTAGGTAAAGTTAGAGTGGGTAATGTGATTTATATTTAGATTAATTTTTTATAAATGATGGTTTGTAAAGTAGAAAAATTGCTTGGATTATGATTAGATAAGTAAGTTTAGTTTGTAAAATGATAAAAATGAGTATGAATTTTATTAAATAATGAAAAATTATTAAAATACAAACTTAAAAAATTTAATAATTTTAAATTATTATAATAGAAAAAATTATATTTATTATAAAATATATTTAAATTAGAAATCACAGTAATGTAAAAATTTTTGAACTAAATAATATTACATAACTAATTGAATGATATACTTTGCACAATTTGTCTAAATATAAAATAAAAAGTAATATTAAAAATAAAAAATATTATAAAAATCTGTTAAAAATTATTTTTATCTCAAAGAATGTTAAAAATAAATAACTAAAAACTTATTAGAAAATGCACGGAATATACAAAGAGAAGTATAAAGAAAAAAATAAACATAGAGATAAAAATGTCTTTTGATTCTAAAAAACTATTTTTGCATAAGTCATTAATAAGTTTAAAGGAGTATCTGGTTGTCCAAAAAAATATTTTTCAAAAGTATTTTCACGCAAATGAAGACATAAATTTTTTTTCACTTATTTCATAAACCAAATAGCTTTTTTCACTTATTTCATAAACTGAAAAATCACTTTTATAGCAATAGTTTGCTTTTCATTTAAACATTCTTTAAATTTTATGTGTTTTTACAATTGTACTTAAAAAAAAAAAATTTAACCTGAGTTAGACTGACCAAAAGTGAAACTCAATACAATCAAAATTACCTTTTGGTCCATAAGTAGCTTATTAGTCACTTTATAAGCTCAACCAAGCAGAGTTTAAGTCCCTCTAATTTAATAAAAATTTGGATTATTTTATTTTAAAAAATCAAAACTTATGATTTAAAACTTGAAAGGTTAAAATTAAAATTCATATAAACTTGAGAGATTAAAAATTATATTAACTCTTTTATATATTAGAATTTATATTTTATCCATAATATGCCAATAATAGTTACAGATAAATTTATGACTTATTTCTTGATAATTTTAGAGCTATTTGCATTTTGTGATTGTGTGTTCACTTATAATGGGTCCAATTATAATAGTGCATTGTTTTAAAATTATATTTGAGGATATTATGTTGACAATGAATTCATATCCTATATAAGTATAACTTTGTCTATGTAATTTATGTCAGGTCCTTATCAAAAGGGAAAAAAAATCAGTTTATCAAAACAAAAAAAATCACTTCTTATACTTTACAAACCTCTAAGAAATATATGCCACGTAAAGTATATAAAATATCAAATGAAGTAAATGAAGTAAGTTAGAGAACAAAATATGCGGAGACAAATCATAAATTAATAAATTATGTGCGCGTTTTTCCCCCCAAAAAACTAACATTATTAATATTAATAGTGACGTAAAAATATACTAACCTCCTATTATTAAGACTTAGTTAATTATTTTGAAGAGATTAATAAAGTTATTGGATGACTTAATGGGTAAAGATGCACTGAGCATCCCAATCTTTTTTTTATTTTTATGAGCACCCATCATCCTAATCTTTTTAGTGATACAATTTTACACAATCTTTTTTTTGGGTGTAATTTTACCCACCATTGACTGTCTTCTAAACACTTGTTAATACGTAAGCAATTTTTTGTTAAAAAAATCTACATAGGCATTTGAAAAACAAATAATTTCTGATGGGATTAAAATTTTAGTTTATTCATTTATTTAATTTAAGAAAAAAGCAAGTGAAATGAATTGTAGAGCGTGGCAGTAAAGGTCGGGAGGAAGACGCTAAATCAAAAATCTCCATCGCTAAAGTAAAATCGAGGTTGTTTGTAGCTTGTTTCAATTGAATGTTTATGGCCTTCTCCTTCTCCACTAAGTATGGCCTTCTCCTTCTCCACTAAGTATTCACAATCACAGAAACAAGTGGGGTTCCAATGCCTGAAAAGTGAGTGCACGATTTTCACCAAAAAGACAAAAAAAAGTGAGCTCACGAAGATAGATAGGCTTGTTTGTTTTTTCCTCTTATCTCTAAATAAATTATTATGTGGCAATTTTCATCCTGTCAGCCACATGATCTCCTGATGTGGATTTTCTTTTTTTTTAAAAAATGTTTGTGTTAACAGATATTAGAGTACTATTAAAAATGGTAAAATTACACTGATAGTAAGTAAAATTGTACTATTAAAAGATTAGGTGCTGGGTGCTCTTAAAAAAAGATTTAGGTGCTCAATGGACATTTATCCTTACTTAATTATAACATATGTTATATTACATGCTCTTTTTAAAATATTTATATATATTATTACCTTCGGTCCTTAATATAAGAGTTAATTGACTAATTTGAGTAGATTAAAGAAACTAGTTAAATCAGTTATTTGTAATAAATATGTGTTATCTATCTAAAATATTCTTACCGAGTAAATGTATTAGCTATAATTACTATTATTATAATGACTATCTTAAAAAAAAAAGATAAATGTGAGAAACAAAGTGAATTGACGATTAAAATAAAAGTCAAATAAGCTTTTATATTAAGCACCAGAAGTAGTATTAGATTATACGAACTGATAAGTCAAATTAGTTTAGAGTAAAATAATAAATACTATCTTCAGTCCTTAATATAAGAGCTAGTTTGACTTTTAATCTGATTCTAAATATAAAACCCCAATCCATATTATTTTTAATATTTATCCATATTTTTCAAAGTAGTCATTGTAATAGTTACATATGTTAAAGGATCTTTAAGTAATACACATGATTAAGAAAGATATTTTAGGAAAGATAACATGTATTTAGTACAAATAACTAACTTAACACATCTTTTAAATTTATTCAAATTAGTTGACAAGTTGTTATATGAGAAAAAGACACTAAAATACCCTCAAAATTACTAAATGACAAAAGAGGGTAGGTAAATTTTAAAATTCCAATTCAGACCCCAGGTACTATTTTAGAATTTTCAAATCTTATAAAATTACACAATGCCCTTTATTTTTTTTTTACTTTTTTTTAAATATTGCCACATCAGCAATTCCTACCGCTGGAGCTCCAACACTGGCGACCTTGCCAGCGACCAACCACCGGAGCTCCGATGATCGGTTACCGGAGTTCCGGTGACTGGTTGTCGGAGTTCTGATGATTACTCTTTCTTATACATTGACTACTCTTTTTTAGTTATTGACTACATTTATTTTTAAACTTTAATGACACATTACTGGAACTCCGGTGACTAGTCAGGAGAGCTCTAGTGACTACTCTTTCTTATGTGTTGACTACTCTTTTTTAGCTATTGACTACATTTATTTTTAAATTCTGATGACTACTCTTGCTAAGCTATTGACTACTCCAGTAATGCGATTTACTACTCTTATGTAGTCAATAGCTATATAAAAATATTCATCGGAACTTTGAAAACAAAAGTTGTCAATAGTTAAATAGAGTAGTCAATAGCTATATGGAAGTAGTCATCGGCAGTAAGGACAATGTTGTCATTTTACAAAATTTGAAAATTCCAAAATGGTACCTAGGGTCTGAATTGGGATTTTGAAATTTACCTACCCTAATTTGTCATTTAGTAATTTTGAGGGTATTTTACTGTCTTTTTCCCTTGTTATATTAAGAATAAGAAACAAGATAAATACTTAATAATTTAATAATTTATTTAATTTTTGTAAATTGGTCAATTAGATTATATATCTCACACCAATAAAGCAGGGGAAAAAAATACTATGCACTGCTCACCAAAACATGGCTTAATTTTAGCGGAGAGGAATCTCTCCGTGAGTCCGTGCTGCCTAAGGAAGCAGAGAAGAAAAAGCGAAGAAAGAAGGACGAACAACACCTGCTTTGCTGACTCTTGGGAAGACTCGTGAGTTGCATCAGTAGCTACTTCACACTCTCTCAAAAAAGCAAAATTATGCCTTCCGTCTCCGAAGGACAAAGCTAGATACGAAGAGATTGTCTCCTTAAACTCGCGCGACACTTTCGATCGTGGTGTCATCGTACATTCCGATCACACTAGCCTCCACACATTCTCTGAGCGTGAGGTTTTTGTGCTCCAAACCCCCCGTAATGCGGGACGTGGAAGCATCTGACACAGTCGGTTCCTCGGACGTAGAGTCATCTTCACTTCTTTCTGATCATTTGCGGTCTTTAAGTCTCAATGGAGTGCATAATCAGACGGAGTCGGTTTCCGATGACCCAATTGTTAAAAAAGATCCGCGGAAAATCGCTAGGAAGTATGTCGGTTTTGACTTTGCTTTTTTCTTCTACTGAGTTACGCTTAGTTTTCAACCGGGCTTGTGGTTTGGTTATTTCTTAGTGATATTTTGTATTCACGTTAGCAAAACTGTGCTTCATTGATTATCAGAAAGGGCGTAAAATATAGTTAAGCCAGTGCCGGAGTTCTACAGAGGAAGCTTCTGCTCAACTATACATTATCATTTTTCTTTTGCAATTTTTTTTATCTAAATTTGTGAGCATGCAACTAAATATGTTATTTTCATATTTTATCTTTTGTTTGCTGTTATTTTCAGCTTGAGTATGTTATTTTCATTGTTTAGTTTAGAAATTAATACTGCCTGTAACTAGGAGCAGAGTAATAATGTTTACTGTGCTTATTTTTCTGATCATCCCGATATCTTCTAAGATTAGAGGATCTCACGCTTTTTAATTTAATGTGCTCCAAAAGGTATCAATTGGAATTATGCAAGAAAGCTTTGGAGGAAAATATAATTGTGTATCTGGGGACAGGTTGTGGGAAGACTCACATCGCTGTATTGCTTATGCATGAGATGGGGCACTTGATACGGAAGCCTCAGAAGAACATATGTGTCTTTCTTGCCACTACAGTGGCATTAGTTAGCCAGGTGAGCTGTTGTGCATAATGCTGCGTCGATGGGTTGTTCATTTTACTGTCGGGGAGGTATGCATAATTTAATGGGGTGCATTTGCTCTTTATTTCTCTGTAGCTCAGTTGGTTTCAGGTTGAGATTCGGGGAGTGGCTTTTTTAATCTGACAGGGAGTTTAGCAGGAAAATTATACTGTGGTCTTATTTTAGTCATCTGGGAATCGAAATGAGTTTTGATATAAGAGCTGTTCATGGTATCCTACATTGTCACCATTGTCATTCTTGTTCTCTGGACAGTCCCAATCCAAATTTTTGCCAATCTCCTCAAGCAAAGCTGCATATTCTAGGATTGTTACCATTGTGGATCTTATGAATCACAGTATCGTGTAAGGAATGTTTTCTGTGCAAAATTCCTTTTTTTTTTTTTGGTTACATTTGGAGGGATTAAACCTTTGACTCTACCCACACCTATCCCATCCTTACCACCTGAGCTACCCCAGGTGGTTCTTTTATGTAAAATTCTGATTGGTTGTTTTTTCATCTTTATAATCTCCAACTGAACTTTAAATGCACGAGGCCATATTTATTTTGCATGTTCTGAAGCACGCTTGATTATCTGTAGCAAGCAAATGTTATAAAAGAGTCTACGGATTTTAAGGTTGGGGTTTACTGTGGGAGCTCAAAGCGCTTAAAAACTCATAATGATTGGGCACAAGAGATTGAGCAATACGAGGTAATAATACTTGATAAATGATATAGTAATAAATTATGTTTTTGTTGTTATTATTATTCTTTTGTGATGCTTTTATTTGCTTCTAAACTTTCTCTCTATTTGTGATTTATGTTTTAGGTTCTTGTTATGACCCCTCAGATACTATTCCGCTGCTTATCTCACACTTTCATTAAGATGGAGATGATTTCTCTCTTAATTTTTGATGAATGCCATCATGCCCAAGTCAAAAGCGACCATCCTTATGCAGAAATCATGAAAGTATATATTGGTTATGCTTAAATTCATATCTAGTCACTTACATCTTTCTGTTCAGTGGACTTTTGTTGTATTTTCTGGGGATTCTTTTTCTACAAATATTGATTTACTAATAGTGTAGGTCTTTTATGAACCGAAATCTCCTAAGCTTCCCCGCATATTTGGCATGACTGCTTCTCCAGTTGTAGGGAAAGGTGAGGCAACTTTACATTTGTTTATAATTCTGATCCTTGACACACAATTTTGCTCTACCCTTTTGTCATAAAGTTTTTTCTTTTTTCCTTTTAACCTTCTGCTCAACAATTTTTCCTTTAGATAGTTCTACTTGTAGAATTTCTTTGCTCAATTTTTCGTTTTAAATATTTTGTTTGCTTCTCTCTTTTAGGGTTTGTTCTCCATAACTAATTAAATAATAGTTTTACTATGAACATTAAAAACCTTGGTAACGTGTTGATTCAGCTTGGACCTAGTTTTTGCGCAAACCTTGCTCTCTTTGCCCCTCTTGTACTTTTCAGAAGTATTTATTGTCTTAAGGAACTGTAGTCCATCTCTTTCTTTTGCTAGCCCAATCTTCATCCTTGTCTTGAAAAGCACAATGAGTTGGAGAAAAAAAATTATACTGCAGTTTATGTCTTTGATAAGCATATGTATGAAAATTAATTTAGCATATGGCTTGGGGACGTTTAAGGATATTCTTTAACATTAGAGATTGATGAAACTGAATGTCTCCTTTCCCTGCTTCAATAACATTGGAACCATTAGCAATTGAAAATTTTCTATTACTATGGCATGGGGTGTAGTTGCTAAATTCATGAGATGACTTATCATATAATCTGTAGCCCCTAAGTCAATGACCGCAATGGTTAGAATAGGCTTGTATGAGATATGAAACAATGGGAATCCATTGTTTTGCTCAAGTGGGCGAATGAGCAGGTTCTAGTATTACAAGATGTCATTTCTAGATTCCCTAAAAATCGTGATCTTCTTAGGCACCTTCCCGTTAAGATTTCTGTGGTCCTGAATGCTTTCTGCTTTTTCCTTATTTAAGTGATATTGTCCTTGAGGTTTCTTCTGTTCATTCTTGAGAGACTTCCCATCTAGCATCATTCTCTGGTGTGTCTTGGTTTCATCCAAGTAAAGATAGAATTTCATAGAGCTTTCTCAGAGGCTATCTCAATTAATTCAACCTGGTCTTTGCTCAAGTTGTGTAATAAAAAACTGAGGTCACACTGCAATCAAGTTTCACACCACGCTCAGATCTTATATCCAAAACATCTCTTTGACAGATGATTAGTGAGCAACTGATCATATGATTGGTAATTCCTCACTTTCTGTTGCCTTAGCGTCTTCCTGTGAAATATGGTTGTCAAAAAGGCTGATGGAACCTTGCCCGAGTTGCTCGTATTGGGGCAGAAAATATATTTGGAGAATTCATTTAAGAAATGTATTACCTATAACCGATTCAACTTGTAATTTGCTTATTTTCTGTCTATCAGCAAATTCTCTAAGTTTCTTAACAGTTTTACAAAATTTTGTCCTAGTGACTCATTTTTAGGATATCGATGGAGATAAGATAATTGGCAGTGCTAAGGAGCTTCATGGATGTATCTCATCAAAGAAGTTGAAAATATGACCAATAAATGATGTTCATTTTTTTGGGTTATCTAAACTTTCGGGTTGCAAATTTTCAGGTGCTTCTAATAAAGAAAATCTATCGAAAAGCATCAATAGTCTTGAACGTTTGCTTGACTCGAAGGTGAGTTCTTTGCTGTAAAATAAACTGAAATAAAAAGACCTGGTAAAATGACAGAATTGTGTACTATCTACTTGTGCTGGCTTAAACGATTTTATTGCTGATTTTATCCCTGTTCTATTCTATTCAAGAAAGAATGTTCTTTAGAGTGGGAATTCTTTTACTCATCATGAAGCTTGGTTAAAACCTTATATATGGTTGAATAATCCTAACATCTTATACACTTTTACCATGGGGTTTAGAATTGTGGAGATGTGGCTTGTGAATCCCAGTCTAAAATTCAGATTTATTTTCCTGGGTTAACCCTGCTTGTTAAGATCATAGCAGATTGGGACAATTTTGGTTGATAGTTATGTAATTGTGCCATTAGATTGGATGTTGATGATGCTCATTGATTTGGATTTGCAGGTATATTCAGTTTCACAAAAAGAAGAAGTGGAAACTTTTGTGGCCTCCCCTGTTGTTACTATATATGATTATGGTCCTGGTGCCAATGGAACAACTAGTCCGTATATGAATTACTGTACCAAACTAGGGGATATTAAATGTGAGGTATGATGCATTTAAAACAAGTTTTAGGATGTATATCATGTAGAAGAAGATTTTCTTACTATTCCATTTTAATGTGAGCAGTGCATAGAAATCCTTAGAAGGAGTACAGAGGATCACTTGAAACGGAGGGACATGAAGAGACTTCTGAACCGCATGCATGATAATGTGCTTTTCTGTCTCGAGCATCTTGGCATTTGTGGGGCATTGCAAGTAAGTCTTTGTTGTGTCAGATTATAATCCTTGGCTCCTAAATTTGTTTGACTGAAAAACATGACGTAGGTAATAAATTGTTGGGTGAATTACCAAGAGGTTCCCCAAAAAAAGAAAAAATTTAATTACTAAAAAGTCCTAATGACTAATGACCAGCCTAAATCTATTGTCATTTCGTATTCTGGAACTTGTCATTACTTACTTTTCACTTGTTAATGGACCTTGGGGTAATTAAATCTCTTCGTCGAGACCTGATTGTAATTCTCCCTAAATTGTTTACCTATATTTAAATATTAATTAATTAATATATCAATATGTGTTAGAAATTTAGGGTTTAATGATCCTTTGAGCTTATTATGTTGATACTAAAAATGAAAACAAACTATTATTATTATTATTTCAACTAAAACACTAACTTTAAAAAATAACATAATTTTATCCTAATTAAAATGAAACACTTAGCCTGAACTTATTCTACTTCAAATTGAATTCTTAAACTAATCCTAGACATATAGAAACTTCTCCAAAAATTTGGCTGAAAAAAGAAAGAGCCTTGGCTTAAAAGTAAAATTACTAAAATAAAGACATACTAACACGATCTCCAACACTCCCCTTTTGGTTGGGTATGCCGAAACTGAAGCAAATTTGATCCTCTTTAGTCATTCAGTTGCTTGTCCAAGACATGATTTGATTGTTTGTTGGACACCCAGATTTTGCACTTAAAGGAAGTTGAAACTTGAGGGGAAGCATTCATTAGTGTGATTTTTCTTGTTGCTTCCATGATATGCTTAGCATTTTTGGTCATTTCTTTGCTCATTGGCTGGGCAATATCGTTGGTTGACTCCCCAGTTTTGGTGCTGAGTGCTGTTTATAAAATATAGAGAGGAAAGAAAAGAAAACCATTGAGTGAAATGTATTCTGTGCATTTTGACTTGCATGAAGGCTATGTTTGGCATGTCAAAAAGGGATTTGAGGAAAGGGAAAATGTGAGAGTAAGTATTTTTATTATGTTTGATGGATGACAAAGTTACTTCCTTTGAAAGAGATTTTCCCATGTTTATGGGAGAGAGTTCTTCCATTCTTATTCTTATTTCGCACCAAAGAGGCTGAAGTTCTGTTTTTGCAGGAAGTGTGACAAAAACAAGTTATTAAAGACTCATTAACTATATTGTGACCTATCTATAGAACAAAACTCATGTTGATTTCACGCTTTAAATTGGATCATAATAATGCAAGAATTTCCTAGCAGAAGTTGATGGGCACTCTGAACTACTGAATTAGGACAGTGTCTTCTGGCCAGCATATAGTTCTTTACCTCTATTCATTGGAAGCAGATATCCCTCCAATATGTTTAGAGAGGCTTGCAGCCTTGCTGCATTGGTCTGTACTGTGAGCTCTTCTTATATTTGTCTTTGATTTTTCTTATGAGTTTGGAGGAAGAACTTTGTTTCTCATCTCTCGTCCCTTTCCCTTTCCTTACTTTAATAGATATGTTAAACGAAATCAAAAGTAGGGGGCAGTCCTATACAGAAATGATATTAGAATATATATATATATGAAAAGGTCAGCAGCCCTCGGATACCTATAAATAGGACTGGATGGGCAGCTGATCCATGCCAAGATTCTTACTCGTTTCAGTCTGATGTATTAGCCTAAGAAAAGAATAGGATAGATGAGTGTAGAGAGAATCAGAGAGTAGAGGTTAGAGAAAAGAAACCAAAGAGGAAAGAGAAGAACATGGGAGATTAGGGGAAAGAGATGAACAAGAGAGAAAAACGAGAGAGGCAGAGGAGATATCTGAATAGTGCGCACTTCATTAATCTGAGGAATCAATCATACATTTTGATATCCTTGCTTGTCTGTTTATAACACCATAGGCCTATCTAAAATAATAAAATAACAGTAAACACTATCTAACGGCTAGTGGCCTTGACCTACCCTTAACATTTAAAATTAATTACAGTAATACATCACAGTCAATGGTTGATACATGGGAGTTAGGAATAGCTAGGGTAATTAATTTAGTATCGCTATACATGGGGTCTTGAAGGGTGTTATGGGTTTTGTGAATGATATCTTACTGTCTTACTCTATTCTCTCCTTTTATGAGTATCAATGGTATTAGAGCTAGGTTCGATGTTGAAACTCGTGGATTATGGGCCCACCATGCCTCCACTGCATGGTTTACTAAACTTTTTGGGATAACAAATTTTAATCTCTTTTTAGGATAGAGTGGATGCGGATTTTTGGCTTCATTCTGGGTTTCAGTTCATAGCATTTTATGATTGTTATTTTTTCTTCCAAATAAAAGGAGGAAAGGGATAGGAGAACTCATTTGAGTTTGGTGTTCTTTCCTTTGTTTTTCTTTTCTTTACCACGTAGATTTGCTTTAGGAGGGTTTCTGTTGTCCAGTCTTTCTGCTGTTATTGTTTCATTTATGAAAAGTTTTTTTAATCTTCACTTACAGTATGCCGTGATTAATTTCCTTCTGCTGATGTTTATTTTTTCAATTGATAACTTGCTGCCTTGGTTTTTTATGCTTGCTTCATATTCACCCTTTAAGGCTAGTCGTGGTCTTTTGAGTGTTGATCACTCTGAAAGGCTTGAGTTAGTGGAGGAGGAAGGAAGTTCAAGTGAATACTCTTTTTGTGACAAATATCTAGCACGGGTGTCTGAGTTCTTTATCTCTGAATGCATTGAAGGTACTTCAATTTTGCTTGGGCTTTTAGTTGTAGTATTACAGTTGCTTAAAATCTGTAGGCTCTCTCTTCAAATATTTCACTGTTCATTATGTTCAATGTTATTTTTGTTGTGATTGAGCTTTCATTTTTGCTCTACCAATAGTCCTTTTATATAATATTTTAATTCTTTACATATGGTTAATAGAGTCCTTTTATTATGTAAGCTTCAAGCGTTTGTAGTGAAAATAAACATGTTGTTTGTTATCTGAATCTGTAGGTCATCAAGTGTCTGATCTCTGTTCTCTGGACATTTTACAAGAGCCTTTTTTTTCAAGAAAGCTGTTATGCCTCATTGGGATACTGTCCTCATTTAGGTTGGTAGTTCAGTGTCACCTTCAACTCCAGCGACTTACAGATATAGATAGGCAAATCTTGATTTTGTTTCTTATGTCAGGTCACGACCAGATATGAAATGTTTAGTTTTTGTAAATAGAATTGTTACTGCAAGATCCCTGTCGTACATACTACAACAGCTGAAAATTTTAGCACGTTGGAAAAGTGATTTTCTGGTAGGAGTTCATGCTGGAATAAAAAGTTCATCACGAAAGGCCATGAACATCATTCTTGACAAGTTCCGCTGTGGAGAGGTAATACTTGCAATTTCTATTATTAGAATTATTAATTCTGAATTTTATAGAATCTAATTGATATATTTAATATATCTATAAAGGAAGGTGCACTATTCAATATCTGTCAACAATGCTGCTTGTTCTATGGGGCTGAAGTTTCATGTGAAATGGCAAAAGTTCTATAACTTTGCATACATTTGTTCATTTTGTACAATGTCGCTTCAAATGACTCATTTTTATAGTCAATTGGTGATTATTTACGGGATAATGGAATCTTATTTTATTTTTAACAACTCTATGGTCTCGTCTTGGGCTTAAGCACCATAAACTTGACTCCTAAAATCATAGGAGTTCACATCCTTAATAGCTAAAGAAATATATACTCTCACTCTATAAAATACTCAAGATGCATCAACAGATGATTAATACACTACATTGTTTTTACGCATGATATTTACTATTCCTTGGTCGTTCAGGAGAAGAGAGGGAGAGAAACATCCATGTGAAGAAGGGAAAAAAAAAAGAAAGAAAAAATGTCTGAGTTTATTCATTAACTTTTGACTTTAACATATATATTCTTTAGCTCATTTGAAATTCCGTATATACTTGTCAGTTAGGTTATTTTTTGTTTGCATGCATTACACAGCATATTGCTTCACTCAACTCGCTTCATCTTGTACCTTTGTCTTTTTCTTATTCTAGATTTAAGTAAATGTTTAAATTTCACTTTTTTCCATCTTTAATGATCCTCAAATTTAAAGCATTGCTGGAAGAATATTGTTTCATGTGAACACAAGCTGCATTTTGAGATTGTAAATCATTCTTCTCTAGATAGTCTTGATTGTTTTATATGCTTGAGTTACTCTTTTCTGACAACAGAATTTGAAGAAGAATCGTCTAATATTAGAAATCTAGAATATTAGGAAATGAGATGGTAAGGTAAGTATAAGGTCTCATAATCATTCACTTTTACCTGCAATCAGGTGGCTGTGAGTTGTTGACACTACCTTAAGAGGCAATGATCAAGGTGTTCTTGCTTCTTTGGAGCTAATAATTTGAGATTGTTGATTCTTGTTAGAGTACAAGACCTAATGTAATTATTGCAACACGCAAATTTATTGTAAAAAAAAATGCAATTATTATTGGTGTTTTCTTTTATCCTAAGATGAATGAGATGTGAAAAATTGTATATTAGATTGAGATTCGAAGGATTATCATATAGCTGGGAGCCACTGGGATAAAAGTGAAACATTTCTTAATGGACTTCCTCACATTTATTTACCATATTACTCATGGCAAGGTGCTGATTGAAAATTAAACGAAAGTAAATAACTATGTAATAATCGTAATGGCTCCAATCTGTGTAGATGTTCCCATTTTTCGAAGAGTTTATACTTTATAACATGCTCACATGGTTCATATTATTAACAGTTGAATTTATTGGTTGCGACTAAAGTGGGTGAAGAAGGACTTGATATTCAGACATGTTGCCTTGTCATACGATTTGATCTTCCAGAAACTGTTGCAAGCTTTATACAATCAAGAGGTCGTGCACGTATGGATCAGTCAGAATATGCCTTTTTGGTGGATAGGTGCTGTATTATAATATTGATGCAAATAATAATTTAGGCAAATTTGCCCACTTAGTTATTTTTGGAATCTTGATATTGCAGTGGCAATAAGAAGGATATGGACTTGATTGAATGTTTTAAGAAAGATGAAAAGCGGATGAAGAGGGAAGTTGCTTTCCGCACATCCAATGACACACATATTATCCCTGAGGAAAGAATTTACAAAGTTGTATCATCTGGTGCTTCTGTCAGCGCTGGATATAGTGTCATAGTGCTTCACAACTATTGTTCGAAGCTTCCGCATGATGAGTATGGGTTTATGCTGAGCTAAACTTTTTTTTTTATTTTTTTATATTTTGCATCAAAATATGTTGTTATGTACTTGTCTACTTGCTATACAAGGAAATTTAATGTACATCTTTTACTGATCAGGATGTGGCTACCTATATTTTCAGGTATTTTGACCCCAAGCCAAAATTTTTTTACTTTGATGATTTAGGGGGGACTGTCTGTCAGATAACATTGCCTTCCAATGCTCCCATACGTCAAATTGTTAGTACACCACATGTTTCAATGGAAGCTGCTAAGAAGAATGCTTGTTTGAAAGCAGTTGAGGAACTGCATAAATTAGGTTCTTTGAGTGATTGTCTGTTGGCAAAGCAAGATGATGCAGACCAAGAGGAGCCTTCAGATTCTTCTGATTCAGATGAAAATGAAGGTCTAGCTTGAGTTGCTTTCTTCTCTGCCCTCTCGTTATCTGTCATTGGGTAGTATAGAATTATTGCATGTACTAAATTTTGATACATATATATTTCTGTATTATAAATTGAGTTTAAGTGCAAGAAAGAAAATGGCCTGCTGTGAGAATAGTGACTCTAGGGAGACGGTAAATCAGAGAATAGTGAAAAATTTTGAATTTTTAGGGATTTTCTCAGACCTAAGGCCTATAAAATGATCCTAAAGGGTTCTGATTGTCATATAATAGGGTAATAAAGGAGGTGTGATACCTTTCCCATGAACAAGCCTTGGCCAAAACTATAGGGTTTTAGGGCAAAAATTCTATTTTCAATTTTAATGCTTCAAAACTTACTTTCTCACCTTTACCGCACATAATTTTTCATTCTAAACACATTGAAAGCATCAAAATCATTAAAATCCAACCCTAACATGAATCCTAAGCCTGGCAAAAAATTACACAAAGTTAGGTGAAGTTGGATTTCTTGAAAATTCATCACAAAACCACTTGATTCAAGCTTATTTCAACCTCTTAATCATCAAGCTAATATAAATCCATTCTTTTCCTAACTATAACAGATTTGAATAGCAAGCTCAATAAGGGTTTTGATCCTCTTAAACTCAACAAAATCTAAAGCCAATCTCAACAGCAACAAGGGTAGCAAAAATTATATCAAAAACCATAATCATACCTTGTTTTGAAGCTTGAACTTTCATAGAATCACTTGGCTTCCTCTTCTCCCTCTCCTCTTGAGCAAAACGGCCTCCCCCTCTCTTTTCTCATTTGGCCAAAACATTACATAGAATGGGAGGGAGAGGTATTTATAATAAGATTAAATCTTGGCCATTAATCTTTTGTATGTATGGCTTAATCTTGACCATCCATTTGATCTTTCCTTATTATCCTGCCATGTGTCCCTTATCCCTTATCTTCCATCTTGATGAAGCCAAGTGTCTAACTTCTAGATTGCTTACATCATCTTGCTTACATCATCAAGTCATATGTCTTCTCTCCAACTGTGCACGTAATACCTTCCCTTTCTATCTAACCATACACATAATCCCTTACATGTCCCTTCATCATTTTGGCATTAAAATAGGGACAAAATTAATAGAAAATTCATGCAAAATGTAGGCCCTAGGTATTCCTTCACCTATCCTGCCATTTTGCACTGTATGGGGTGAGAGAGTATAGAGCACTTCCACTAGCATTTCTTTTTTTTTTCATAGAAGTGATTGCTGACTTCCAGTATGTCCACCCTAGCCTTTTTCTTTCCTTTGTTGTTAGAAGAATCAACACTATAAATGGTCACATTGGCCTTGCCAGTTTTGATTTGTATGGTGTCTATTCCAGCAATGTCAAAGGGTGCATGGTGGCATTTAAAGGAATGCGATGGCACTTGTAAAGCCTGTAGTCAACATAGGCAGGCCAATCAACCAGTCCTATTAAGGTTCTGATGGAGACTAAGGTAGTATGGGATGTTTTATAAGGTAATTATGTGGATTGATTCCTTCACTTGATAGCTAGCTTTTGGCAGAGGGTTCCCCACAACACATGGACACCTATCAAATTGTCTCGAAGCTTGTAATTGGTGGATCTAGAAAGAGCTAACTGTGGAGAGTTTTAAATGGTGAGGAAGCCAGATGTTAAAAGTAAAGCTTACTGAGTGTAGCTGTCAAGATCTTAGCTCTCCCAAGGGAGCATGGAGACTGGAGTAGTATTAGTCCCAAATTAAGTAGCATGAAATATTCTATAGTTTACTTAATGTATTGGTTCTCTCACCTCAATAACTAGCTTTTGGAGGACATTACCCATTTCACTTTGGTGTTCATTAGGTCTTTGAAGTGCTTGGATCTAAATGGAATCATACAAAGGATGATAGCTTGCCGTAGTAGCTAGGAGGGTTACAAAACTGAAAGGAACTACTATGGAGGAGAAATGACACCATAAGTGACTAGAAAAGAATACAATGATCACAGAAGATTGACTGGAAGAGAAGGTGTAGCCAAAACTGCTAAGCATGTGGGAAAAAACTCCAGCTCTTAAAATTCTTAAAGCTTATTTCTCTCTCTAAGAATACTCTGGCACCTTATTGAAAATTTGAAATTTTCTTTGCTATTGTGTTGATTGAGGCGAAGTTCATAGGTGTTTATAGATAAGGAAGGCTAGTCTAAGTAACAGCATTATGGTAAGGATTATTAGGGAATAATGAAATAAATGATTAAAAACAACTGCTGATAATCTTATTATTTACAGATTGCAATGCAATCACTTATAACAGTTATTTTTAAGTTATGCTATAAGTTGTGCAAGTAATATTACGTTTTGTTGACAATATCTACTTTCATCAATTCTCAGATGACAACTTACGGGGAGACTTATATGAGATGCTAGTTCCTTCAGCCTTTAGACAGGCCTGGACAAATTCGGATAATATTGTCCATCTTAACTCTTACTTTTTTAAATTTAGACCCTCTCCCGAGGATCGGATCTATAAAGAGTTTGGTTTATTTATGATGACACATCTTCCTGCGGAGGCTGAGAAAATGGAACTTGATCTTCACCTTGCTCGTGGTAGAACAGTGATGACACAATTTGTTCCATTTGGCATTATCGAATTTGACAAAGCTGAGGTAAGTGACATACTTTTCCTTTTGTTTCTCAAAAAAGGTTTTAGATCAATGCTCTAAATTTTCCAATGTGCAGATTCAGATGGCACAGCAGTTTCAAGAGATGTCCCTAAAAATTATTCTAGATCGATCAGAATTTGTTAATGAATACGTACCCTTGGGTGGGGCTGATGTCTTGCAAACAAGCACTTCAACCTTCTATCTTTTGCTTCCAGTCATAATGCAAGGCTGTGAAAAGACTATAACAGTAGATTGGAAGACCGTGAAAAGATGCCTTTCTTCACCAATTTTTAGGCTCCGAGAACATGCTGTAACTCCGAAATTGTTCCCTTGGGATATGAACTTGCAACTTGCCAATGGTTGTAGAAGTGTAAAAGATCTTGAGAATAGTTTAGTGTATGCGCCACATAAGAAGCAGTTTTATTTTATTGCTAATATTGCTTATGAAAAGGATGGACTAAGTCGTTATAAAGATGTGGGCAGTTCAAGCTATGTGGATCACTATATTCAAAGGTTGTTATCTGCTCATTACGACTGTGTATATTTATTTTATTCTGGTTGTAAATCCCTTATTCTTCATTATTATATTATAATATATTATGGTAATGTTTAAACAACAAACGTGAGTGTAAGTTAGGTTTCCTATTCTGCTTTTTAACAAGACTTATAAATGCTTGGATGCCAGGTTCTCCATTCATCTTCAATACCCTAAGCAACCGCTTCTCTGTGCTAAGCCACTATTTAATCTGCGCAACTTGCTTCACAACCGAAAGCAAGAGGGTACAGGTACATGATAGAATATGTGCATGAAGTTGTTATCTTTTCTTTTCTTTGTTTTATTTTTGGGTTTTTTTGTCATTACAGTTAGAAGGACTTCAGCCTTTATCAGCTTCTGCAATTTTGTCATTTATTCTCTTGATTAAGCATGTAATTTCTTGTTGATAATTTTATTGGGATATCTATGACTTTGTTAAAAAAATTAAATAATCTGCAGATAGCAGTGCTCACCATAATTAACTGTAGTGATACTCTACAAATTCAGAGGCCAGACAGGGCACTCTGCCTTGGCATGTTTTATGTGTAGGGCTAAGAAAGAAACAGCTGGAGATTTGTTTTTATGTTGTAGTATGGTTGCTTTGCCTCCGAATAAATTGTTTGGCATCTTGAGCCAGGGCCAGGTTTCAATTTTCCTAGAAAAATTTGGATCAGTTTTATTGTTTGGATACAATATAAAGATGGCAAAGTTTTTGCGCAAACATGCAGTTTTCTTTGTGATTTGGTGTGCTTGGTTGCAAAGCAATGCTGCAGTTCTTAAAGATGTCCTGCAACTCAAAATGACTTTTGGGAGAAGAGTCCTGTCTCCAGCTTCCCTCTGGTGTTCTGTGCATTTTTTTAATCGACTCATTGCTAGAGATGAATAGGGATTTAAAAAATCTCTTACACAACTTTTCATAGGCAATGAAGTCGAGTAAACAACTTTTCGTAAGCAATGAATTCTCTCTATTAATTTTTCCCTCAAGTTACTGGGAAAGAAAACAGTAATAGAAATCAAACCCTTCTATATCTAGAAAATTAAAGGGAAGAATCAGAATTCCCTGAAAATTTATAATGCCACCCTAACCTTCAATCTCATCTTGTTGGTACTTCCTTCCGCAAGAGAGGAAGTCATCAAATAAGACAGGAAATCTGAAAGAGTCAATAGACAAGCCAAGAAAACTCACTATCTGATGCATTTAGCCTCAAGATTATTTTAAACTTCATTTATTATTATATATGATGCATTTAGCCTCAAGAAGAATGAAGTCCTTCTTCACCCACGATGAAGTTGAGCAAACAACTCTGCCCCATAAGAGTGTGATGGAAGAAATATCTGCTGGAAAATTCTGGCATAAAGCCCCAGCCATATATGTCATGACTCCGCTAGAATGGCACTTTTAGAAGACCTTATATTATCACACTCTTTGACCACATCTTTCTTAGATGTTTGTGTTTATTTCAAGTATGTATCAATTATTATGAATCTTGAACCTTGATTTTTGATTTATGTTGATGAATATATTCCACAAATGATTGTAACCTCTTATTTTCAAGAACAGAAGCTCATGAACTGGAGGAGTATTTCATCCTTTTGCCACCTGAGCTTTGCCAGCTAAAAATTATAGGCTTCTCAAAAGATATAGGTAGTTCCCTATCTTTGTTACCGTCAATCATGCATCGTCTTGGAAACTTGCTGGTTGCAATTGAACTCAAGCATCGGCTTTGTTCTTCCTTCCCTGAGGCGGATGAAGTTAGTGCAGAAAGAGTAAGGCCTTGTCATATGTATATATTATGTGAACTAATTGTTTTGATAAGGCATGCATTTTTGTTGGCAAAAAAAGCCATGTATTTTGGTCACTTTGTCATTGTAGTGCTCATATGTGTGTTTAAATGTAGTATTAACAATTGCGAAAATCTACTAGGTTCTTGAGGCACTCACCACTGAGCAATGTCAGGAGCGCCTTTCTCTTGAAAGACTTGAAGTTCTTGGTGATGCTTTCCTTAAATTTGCAGTTGCGCGCCATTTTTTTCTTATGAATGATAGCCTTGATGAAGGAGACCTTACAAGGAGGCGATCAAGTGTTGTGAATAACTCCAATTTGTTCAAGTTAGCTACCAAACATAATCTGCAGGTAAAATTATACCATCAAACGTCATTTTCTTTGCAACAATCGTTGGGAGGGGTAGCTTTTTGAACAAGATTAGTTTTACACCTAAAGGGAGTGTGGATACTTGAGAGAAATAGATGTCATCTTTGGGAGAGGATTATCTTGTGGCCTATGGGTTTCAACAAATGGTTTGCTTAGAAGGGTGTCCCCTTATGAATATTCAAAGGGATTGGAGAGATCTCTTAACATGGGCTTGGTTATTTTCGTTTGCATTTTTCCTGTGTCATCAATAAATTCTCCTTTCTTATCCCAAAATAACAAAATATGATCTCTCTCTGATCTCTTGAAAGATTCATATAGAATACATTTGATACCCACCCCCCCCCCCAAAAAAAAAAAAAAAAAACCTAGCCATAATGTGATTTTTGTTCTGAAAGCATCGTTAGAATCAAGAGCATATTTCATGAGATTAATTTAAGAGTCTCCATGTAGAACATCCAATGGAATTAGAGTAGGTTGGGATTAAGGTTTCTTGGTAAATTGGTAAATCAATGGTGGAAAACTGGTGGAGTTCAGTGGGGAATAACTGAATTTGGAAAGTTTTATGATCCATGTGAAAAATGAAAGTGAGAGATGTATCTTGATCTATGCCATCTCCAATGACCTTAATGTTGTTTACTTCCCAGTTTTTACATTTCCATTCATGCTCTCACTTACTACCGAGCACACCCAAGATAGGATCTAGGGCTACAGGCAACCATAAATGAACGAGGAACTTTTCTTTTTTCTTTTCTTTTGTTTTTTTTGTTTGTTTGTTTGTTTGTTTTGTCTGTTGGGGGAGGTGTTGGAGCGGAGGGGTGGGGGAGGGATTTGAGTTTATCATACAACAAAGAATAAAATATTTTTGTGAATAGTATTCAGATGACTTGGCAATTAATATCGACTAAAAGATATAGGAGAAGAACATTAGAGCAGCGTAGAAAGTGAGAATGCTGATCAGGGAGTTCTGTTACTGGTCTCTTCTTTTTATTTAATGTAAAACTAGTGTATAAGTAGATGGGCCAGACCTCAATCTGAAGTTTTTTTTCAAGCAATGGTAGAATTATAGAACTGGTATGAGAATGAATGATTCAAATTGTATTGATTTGTGTACTGTACAGAGGACATATAAAGAGGAGGTGAATCGGGAGGATTACATGAGATACCAAGAGTGATTTTAGGAAAATATTGAAATTAAATCTGATTTCCTATAATCTGCCTAACATTTTGGAAATCATAACTATTTACATATTAACAACAAGAATAACAGAAATTAAAATAAGTTAGTGATCTGGAAGTGAAAAAATAGGGAAAGCAAACTGGAGAAGATAGAAAATGAAATAATAACTAAAAAATCAGGAAGTAGCTGTGTGACACGCAGGAGCAACATTATGAGGCACAGGTCTCATGATGCCCCCGATGGTCCTCTTAGGCTGGAGAATAAAGATCTGTCATTCCTAGCTTTCTATTGGGACTTTTAAACTTCACGCTTGATAAAATTGTCATAATTGTTAATTATTGAAATCTGTTATTTTTAATGGAACAATTATTCATATGCTTGCTTCTTTCTCTTTCCAGGTGTACATTCGTGATCAGGCATTTGATCCCTCTCAGTTCTTTGCATTAGGCCGTCCTTGCCTAAGAGTCTGTGCCAAGGAAACCGTTCAGTCTTGTTTAAATTCTCCAGAGGAGCTGGGCCAGGGAAGATCAACTGAAGTTTATTGCAATAAAAATCACCACTGGCTTCATCGAAAAACAGTTGCTGATGTCATTGAAGCTCTTATTGGAGCATTTATTGTTGACAGTGGCTTTAAAGCAGCCACTGCATTTCTCACATATCTTGGCATACAAGTTAAGTTTGAATCCTCACAGGTGGTCAATGCTTGCAGAGCAAGTATGAGTTACATCCCTCTTTCCATGCATATAGACATTCCTTCCCTTGAAGATGAGTTAAAACATCACTTTGTCCACAAGGGTCTGCTTCTCCAAGCATTTGTACATCCCTCTTATAATAAGCATGGAGGTGGCTGCTATCAGGTTGGCCATACCTTCTTGTAAGAACTGTTCTTCATTACTTGATAGCAGACAGAGAAGGATAATCATGTAGTCTACACTCTTTCAATTTTTTAACATTTGATAATTTTGTGCAGCGATTGGAGTTTCTTGGAGATGCTGTATTGGATTACATGATTACTTCATACCTTTACTCAGCTTATCCACAGCTAAAGCCTGGTCAATTAACAGACCTGAGATCAGTGTCAGTTAACAATAAGGCTTTTGCCTATGTTGCAGTGAATAAAGGATTTCATAATTTCCTTTTATGTGATTCTAGTGGTCTCTCTGATGCTATAGAAGAGTATGTGGACTACATTAAAGAATCTCAAGTGCATGTTGGCGTTCATGGAGGGCCTAAATGTCCCAAGGTATTTATAAATTACCCTTTTCTGATGAAGCTTGTGAAATATTTTTGCTTTTATGGTAAATTTCTATGATAGGATTAGTGACTAGGAAGTGAGTGTATAGCATTTATTAGCCATATTTAGTCTTTATTCTCTCAGCTTCCCCTATTTGATGTGCTGGTGCTATTCAAGATATATATGAAAAATAGATCCCACGAAGCTACATCACGAAGATGCCTTTATTTACTTATTTATTTTTATAGAAGAGAATATTTATGCGATGGAGAGGTTATTTTTACTTGTTTATTCCAATGAAGAGTCTTTATTGAGATGTCTGTTTATACCATCTTGATAGAGTTCACACAGGGAGCACATTATATGGCTAGGCATGCTCACAACTATAATGATGACAGTTGTATTTTCTTGAGCCTCCTTTATGTGTATATAAAGCCTTGACCTTGAGCATACATAGACCCTCCATATAATTTTCCAGTATTTTAACATTGAGCATTTTAAGAGGGGAAAAAAAAAGAAAAGAAGGAAAAGATAAGTTTTCCTTGCAAATGCAGAGAACAGTATAGTGCAGAAGATCCAAACCAAATTGAAGTCATATTTGAAGCCTATTTATTACATAACTTGGATTCACCACTCCTCTAAATTGTCCTTTTCAAAGTTATTTTTTTTCCCCTTTTACTTGATAAAAGGAACTTTTATTAAGAGAGGAGGATAGTATGAATGTGGTTTTTTAAAGCTCTATATTGATATTGTACTTCAAATCTATAAAACAAATTGATGTGCTATGACTATTTTTGCACCATTGTCTGTCATGTGGTTTGGGTTCTGTGCATGGTTAGTGAGTCTTGGCACGTCCAAGGAAAGAAATTTATTATTTATTAGTTTATTATAAATCTGTGTTGTTACTTGAATCTTAATTTTCATCAGTAAACATTTCTGAGGTTTATATTTATGCCTTTGTTTTGCTTCAGGCCCTAGGTGACTTGATAGAGTCTTCTGTTGGTGCCATTCTGCTTGATTCTGGTCTCAATCTGAACATTGTGTGGAAGATTATGACTTCATTCTTGGAGCCTATAATGAAATTTTCGTCAGGCTTGCAGCTTAGTCCTATTAGGGACTTGCAAGAACTTTGCCAATCACGTAGTTTGCGGTTGAAGTTTGTGAAATCCAAAACAAGTAGAATGTTTTCCGTCAAAGCCGAAGTGACTGGGGAAGATGTATCTGAAACTGCTTCAGCAACCAGCATGAGTAAAAAAGAAGCTACTAGAATTGCTTCACAACGAGTATTTTCTAAACTAAAGGTGAAAGTTTGAAACCAGTATAGCATGCTTATTTATGTCCCTTCGCATCATCCTTTTTGGAAGTCTCAAGTCTCAGCACCTTAGCACCTGAAAATTTGCATCTCTTCATTGCCTTGCCATTCCTTCTGGGTCGACATCACTGTTTTAACTTGATTGGACGTCCTATAAACACTAAAAGAATGTAGATAGGTAGGAAAGAAGAAGGATAGAAAAATAGATAGGTAGAGGGATAGAGAATGTGGGAAGAAGAATTAAACTCTTCACGATTGCATTAATTAACATCAACAATCCTCATTAACCGAACAATCCTTTCTTCCGTTTATAGCAACAAGAGAACAGCTACTACCTGACAAACCAACTATAACTGACTTTATCTTATCTGATGCAACAGCTTCTGCCTTTCTCCCAACCCACCCCCAAAGAATGGGGAGATCTTCATTCATTGAAAATCATAAATTGGACCCCAAGGAGCATTTTCACCATATTCTCTCTATACCAAAACAGAATGATATGGTATTTGTAATACATAGAAGAGGGTCAGGTGGGGCACTTACAGGGTTTATACTGGTTAAAACCATTAGCCTGTAGAAGGCATAAAGAAATCCTAGTAATCGGGTTTTTGGTTCAATGGATGAAAAATTTGAGTCCCCCCCACCCCTCACTCTGTTGTTTTTTAGTTAAAATCTTTCTGTGGATGAGTCTTTCACTACCGTCTACCATTCTTCTGAGTGACATAGCTTGGTATTTGTTAGTAAGAGGAAACTGTTGAGTATGCATTGGATTTTTCAGTTGAGTTTAAACTAATTATCTATGAGACGCATTTTGGCGTCCTCTCGTATGAATCTAACAGCTGTATTTTTGTTGTATTTTATGGTTTCATGGGTGTGGATGTGCAGTCCAAGGGCTGGAAACCGAAGTCAAAACCTTTGGAGGAAGTTCTTAGATCAACCTTTAAGGCAGAAGGCAAACTTCTTGGCTATGATGAAACACTCATTGATATAACTGAAGCTGGCATCATTGAGCCTATAATGGTTAAGGGAGAACAATGCAGCAGTTTTGATCCAGAAATTTTTCCCATTGGTGGTAATGAGGTAGTTGACAAATATCATTCACGTTCAACTTGTAGCCAACAGCTTCCATCTGCTTCCATCATGGAGAAACTTGGGGAGACAACTGAAGATCATGATTGGGACTGTGACTCACAGCGGGCAGGTACTGGTATAATTTTGGTAGCTGTGGGGTGCCAAATGTTGAAGCTAGTGTCTCACAATTAATTCAGATGCTGTTTCAGGTTGTTTGGTCAAAAGAACATCAAGATCACGGTTGTATGAATTTTGTGCTGCCAATTGCTGGAAGCCTCCTTCATTTGAATGCTGCAAAGAGGAGGGACCAGACCATCTGAAGTTGTGAGTCCATAATCTTCATATGCTGTGATCTTTGTTGTCTCTAAAATTGTCATGTTTTGGCAACTACTGAAATTTGTATATCCATGCGTTCTTTGTTCTATGATAATTTGAGGGCTGCATCAGTCTTGGCAAGAATTATGAGACAGAATTACTGATTCCCTACAGCCACCTTTTTAAGAGCCAGGAAAATGGTTTAGACCTGTCAGGCCAGCCCATTAAGCCTTAAAAATGAGAGAGCCTGACCTGGAAAAAAGATCATATTTTGAGATAATTGGGTTTTTCTCTTTTTAGCTTTTCTTTTGTATTGGGTGAATGTTTGATATAAACAAAGAAAATTTAAATATTACATTTTGCTAATATATGAACTATAGTATGAATAATCTTAGTAGAATTTAAATGATCAATAATAAAATAATTACATTTTGGTTATTAATTGGTGATGATAATTAGCATTTTATAAATTCGTATAGATTTTGATTATGTAGGAGAGTTAAAAAAACCTTAGCATGTTACTTAGTTTGTTACTTGTTTATTTTTAGGGATACATTTAAAAAGAATGTCATTTTTTATTTTTTTAGAGTTAAGGTGTATCTAGTATCCTAAAGTATTTTGTGAGGTAAAGAAAATACTCTAGGGTAATGGAGAAAGATATTTCGAGATGCTAGATACATCACAGAATACTTCAGGGTGGTGGATGCACATTAACCCATTTTTTATTTAGGCTTTTATATAAAATTCAATTTTTCAAAAATAATATATATGATCAGTTTTTGGGCATCAAAAAACTGATCCCGCATCTATGAAAGGGCTTTTTCAACCTGCTGGCCCTAATATTTTTCAATATTTCATCTGAGATTGTTTTTCTTTTAATCAAAGTTCCAAAAAGTAGTGACTGGCTCCGCAAAGGGAGCATTTTTTTTAGGAATTATATTATCTTCCAGTCATTCTAGTGAGTGTATTTACATATTTTCTCCTTCTCTGCCTTTGGTGTTCATCTTTCTGTCATACTTAAATCACATCAGCAAACCTAATGACTTTAGAATTTTTCAGTTACTTGGTTTCGTCTAGGATCAAAATGCTTGCTTTCCTTTTTGATGTGGAAGTTTCGAAATTGGCTAGATTATTTTCTTCCATATTATGCTTGCTTACTAAATTCGTTGAAGATGTTGAGATGAAGATAGCTTTTTGTCGTGGAGGATAAACCATTTTTACCATCATGTGTTCTCGTTCTTCATAAAAATTTAGATCCTTTTTTCTTTTTGTAATCTTCTATATTTGATTTTGTTTTGTCTTTCGTAAGATTTACTTGCAAGGTGACCTTGGAGATAGAAGAGCCTTCAAATATGATTTTGGAGTGTGTTGGAGCTCCTCAATCTAAGAAGAAAGATGCAGCAGAGGCCGCATCTGAGGGTGCAATTTGGTACCTGGAAAAGGAAGGTTACTTATTTGATTGTAACTGAAAAACAGCACGACAAAGCTTGAAACAGCCTTTTTCACTTGAAGCTAACTGTCATCGGGAGTTTCTAAAATGACCTTAGTGTTAAAGATATGTTCTAACAGCAACAGATAGTGATACCGGTTTAGCATACCCCTATTTCCTGGCATTTGGAATGTGTGTATTATGATTCTCTAAATATAGGTTGTATAATTTCCTTGAATACTTGAAAAATGATCATATGCACACTTCATTTCCCTTGAGCGTGTGCGTGTATATATATAAAATATATGTTGAGATATAAAATGTTTTGTTATCAATATTATGTGGACAACATGATTATTAAAATTAATTTTTTATGCCTCAAAACATCATTTAAAAAATGTGCAGCACCTAATGCTTTCTACAGAGAGCATTGAATCACAGCCTACAATTTTTTAGTACTTCTCCGGTATTTAATATAAAACCTATATAACTAATTTGATTAGATTAAGAAAATTAGGTAAGTTAGTTAATTATAAGAAATATGAGATGTGTTTTCTAAAACACCATAATAATTTTTCTTAATATTATTCTTCTCTCACTTATTTGATGATGGTTAAAGGAGTATCATAGGGGTAATTTAGAAAAAATTAGTAAATATGAGAAATAGGTTTATATTTAGGACTAAAATTAAGTTAATAATTAGATCTTATATTAAGGACCGGAGGAGCAGTAGGACATGTCAATCACTTCTAGATCTTAGGGTATATTTTAGAAAATATCAATCATCTTAGTTCCTATTATATGTTTGAACATTTTTTTTTTTTTACCAGCATATGTTTGAACATTTAAAAGGCATCATAAGGTATTGATTAAATATTTTTATACCTCTCCTATTTGAAGTCATTAGCAATGAGATGATGTACTGCAAGTTTGAAATTTTTTGGAAATTTATTTTATTTTGAAATAAAATTAATGAGTTCACCACCTCTCATCAATTCTGGTGTGATGGACGTGTCTTTAGTAAGATGGGAGGGAGGATACCAATTTCCTTTTCTTTTGGAAGTGTTTATTCCACGTCATTTCTAGCTTGCCAAAGTTACTTTTCTAGGGCTTAATCTTGGGGTGCATAATTTCATTAAATACATGCCAAGATCCAATAAATAAATATGGCAAAAAAAAAATATCGAACATTAATAACATTAATGAACAATTTATCAATCCAAAGAAACATTTGTTATTTGCTTTTCCATGTGAACGAAGTGATTATGGATGTTTAGACAACGCTCGCGTAGAACATTAAACATCCAACTCCTATATGCATCATACTTTTATCTCTTCCTTTAAAAATACTATCCCTTCATTAAAATTAGTTAAATATTTATTTATAACAATTATACTGGAAGATTTAGACTGGTTTGAGAGGCAAATAGGTTCTCTTCTACCGTCTTGTTATGGGGTGCGCAAGCTTTCATTGACCCAAAACTCTCGATTAACCTCATCATGACATGAAACCACTTGCAACTGCCATTGCTGATCCTAGGGGATTAAGATTCTGTATTTAGAACTAAAATAAATTTTTTGTTTAGATTTTACATTTAAGATCAAAAATAGTATTTCTTTTAAGACTAAAATATACTTTTAGTCTTTTAACTTTACATAAGGTTTCATTTTTGTCCCTTAACTTTAAAAAGTAAACTTTTAGTTCTCTAATCCTAAAACCGGTCATAAAAAATAATGATATTAAGGTCTTAAATGCTGATAAAACATTACTAAATACTAAAATATTAAGTTAAAATTTCAAAACAACCATAATTGTTATAAAAATTATCATTTAAGACTAACAATTTTAGGGTTAAAGGACTAAAAGTATACTTTTTAAAGTTAAGGAATCAAACTAAAATCTTACATAAAATTAAAGGACTAAATGTATGCTTCAGTCTTCTTCTAATCTTAAACGTAGGAGCTAAATAATTAATTTAAAAAGATTAAAAAATTTTCTTAAAGTTGGTTTTATGGGGAAAAAAAGTGTGCTGTTTTTCTAAAATGAATTTTTTAATCATTTTCATTGAAAACTATTTCATTATTGAAAAGCTCTCTTAAAATGCATAATCATTAAGGAGAGTTTAGGAAAAAAAATACTGCTCCTTTAGTTCTTATTTTAAGGATTTTTGGCATGTTTTATAATATAACATGTCCTTTTTTTTTTTTTTTGCCATCATAACATGTTTTGTTTAAAAACATTAATTTTTTTCACCTAGTATCCCTAACTATAAAACTTCCCAACTAATTAACCAAAATTTTCTGAGTAATGACTTTTTATTAAGGATAATTTTGATATTTTATAAGAAATAACTAATTTCAACTAATTTCATTACTTCCTCCATTCCTTTTTATAAAATACAACCTATGATAAAAAAAATTTATTTAAAATTTGTTAAAGACAATAAATATGTAAAAATGTAACTTCTTTTTTAAAAACATTCTTATTCATGAAAAATATGGTGACGGAGAGAATGAGTGAAAAAAGAGATGAGAAAGACATGTAATTAATTAAGAGTAAAAATAAAAGATACGTTAAATGTTTAAATATATACAAAGTATAGTTTATAAAAAGCAACATACCCATTCAAAAAAATTTTGTAGCTTACGAAAAGCAAAGCATGGAAGAATTTATATAAAACCAATAGAATTTTTTTCCTTACAAACTCTTATATTTATCACATAAGAGAGTGCAGTGATATTTTACTCTCTATTCCTTAGTATAGAACTTAATTAGAGAATTAATATTGATCCTATATGTAAGATATATTTCACATATTTTTTAATTTTTTTCTAAATTAATTCTAACAATAATCAAATAGGAAAGAAAGGAAAAGAATTAAGAAATATACTTAGGGTGTTTAGAAAAAAACATCATATTAATTGATTTAACTAATATTATTAATCTACTCAAATTAGTTAATTAGGTGCAGATGGGTATATCTTTTATCGGATCTTATTCATAAAACTTAAAACTTACAAACAATTTGTCAGTCTTAAATATCACCAAAGCCAGACCCAAGTCGCTACTATGTTTTTTAATTTACAAATGTCGCTTATGTTTTTACTCCTCCGGTCTTTAATATAAGACCCATTTAACTAGTTTGATTAGATTAAGGAAGTTAGGTAAGTTAGTTAATTATAAGAAAAGTGACACATTTTTCCTAAAACACCATAATCATTTTTCTTAATACTTTCTCTCCCTCTTCTACTTGATTATGGTTGAGGGAGTATCTATAGGGGTAATTAGAAAAAATTGATAAATATGAGAAATGAGTCTTATATTTAGAACCAAAACCAACTTAAGAATTGGGTCCTATATTAAGGACCGGAGGAGTATTCTATTCTTATTCATAATCCGTCGGCAAGGGTATAGCAAATATTTTTATCCGCAGAGTACATGAACTGACTCATTTTACAAATAGGATATGTGACTTTTTATTTTGTTTTGGAACAACATTTTAAGCAATCGAGCAGCTCCTAATATGGCATCAGAAAATGGAACAAAGCTTGAAATGAAATGTAGAAATTAATTAATTTTTTTAAAAAAAAATCAGACAGATAATAAACGAGACTTTCCCATTTTAACATTCTACATTTACCAAATTCCCATTCAATTTAAATGAAAGCAACATTGGTTAATGCGTCTCAGCCATTGATCCACTCCCATTTAATCCACGATCCAAGCCTTCGATGCTGCATATATTGAAAATCAATTTATTGAAAATCAGATCAATTATTGAATAAAGTACATTTTGAATTTAAAAATAAGTTAGATTAGAGGTTTCAGTTTAGTTTCTTCACTTAATTAGTTCTTAAGTTATTTCTTAACTAGTCTTAAATGATAATTTTAACAGTTATTGTTGTTTTGAAAATCAAAGTTAACATGCCAGCATTTAAAAAATAAAATCTTATGTGAGGTTAAAAGATGAATTAAAAGTAAACTTTTGTAGTCAACAAAATGTAAAGTTATGCATTAAATGGTCTCCTTGTTGAATTAATTAAATAAATAAAATGGTGTATTAGGCAAAAGTGGATGTGATGACCCCTTATATTTTGAATCAAATCTAGATTAAATTGCTCTATTCTTAAAATACACACTATACCTTTTGTCAAATCTAAATTATTTATCTCACCTTAAATTTTGACTTGAAACAATTCAGAACAGGGGAATCTATATATATATATATATATATATATATTTTCCTTGTAACAATTTAATCAGTAGACCCCCTTTCTCTCTTCTTTTCTAATTATATGATATTGGTTTGGCCAAAAAAAAATTAACAAAAATTATATGATATTTGATATGATTAAGTTGGATTCCACAAGCTCTATATGAAGGAAAGCCCTCTACCTTGAAAGGGTTTTGTTTAGAAAGTACTCATCCAGTGTTAAATATAAAATTTATTTTATAATATAAATTATACTATAAAATAAGTCTTATATTTATTATCAGAACAGTACGAGTTATTTTTCTTAACCCATTAATCAAATTCTACTTTCTTTTTAAAGTTCAACAATTAAAATGCAACGGAGTCAACCAAGATGCACTGAGTGTTCAGAGATTGAGTTTTGCCTAACTCGAAGCTATCGGGATTTAAAAAAAAAAAAAAACCCAATTTTCCCTAAAATTAAAAACATAAAAAAAATTATAAATTATAAATAAAAATTCACCTTGAGTTGAGATTTTCCCGTCTCCATCAAAACCAGCAGCCCAAAAGAAATACCCACGAAGCCCAAAAGCCTGAGCTGCTCCAACCTTCGCCGTCACAGTTAGTGCATTATCGTAACTAATCCAAGAGGTTCCCGAATAAGAATACACTGACACCGTGTCCACGTCATGCACCACCCTGGCACCCGTTCGCCTATTAAACTCCTCCACTTGGAAGTACGCCATTGCACCATTCCCTGGGCCCTTCCCAACAGCTGGCGCCCCGATTCCATGCAGATTGGGGTCCTTGAGCTCCCACGTTCTCCCATAAAGAGGTATGCCCATAGTAATCTTGCGGGGGGATAGCCCGGCCCGGATCCACGACCGAAGCCCGTATACGGTGTTTACATTGCTTCTCGGGTTAAATAATGAAGCTAAAGGCCCGGTCTTGTTACTCCACGCCCCGTTATAATCGTAGGACATTACGTTGATCCAGTCCATATTGCTGTTGATTGAAGCCACCGGGTATGTGCGGGCGGTGAGGGATAGGAAGAAATCGACGGCGAAATACATGGCAGCGGTAAGAAGCAGTGGTGGCTGGCCTCTGCTTTTGGCGTCGTCGAGAATTGCGCTGCGCCAGTCTCGGAGTAGTAGGCCTAAGTGATCCATTTCTGTGGAAGTTTGCGGGAATTCCCAATCTAGGTCAAGCCCATCGAAGCCGAAATTTCTTGCTACCTCAATGGCGGAATTTATGAAGGTTTCTCGTGAAGTATGGTTAGAGGCGATTTTAGCAAACACGGCGCGGTTACTGCCTGCTCCACCGATGGAGAGGAGGGTTTTTAGGGGAGGGGTCTTGGTGCTGAGGCTACTCGTGAATCTCGAGAGGCTTTCGGCCGTTGAATTTGAAACTTGTAATTTGTATGTGATGCTGTTTGGCACAAGGAAAGCGTAGTAGATGTGAGTGTACAACGATGAGTTTATGGCTGAAGCAGGGAAGATCGATTGCTCAAACCAGTAAGCAGCTTTCACCACTGAAGTTGAATTGGATAACGCCGTCGTGCTTCTGGAGGTCACTGCCAAGAGAACTGCGATGAGAAGGAAATTTGTAAAGTTTATTATTGCCGCCATGGTTTGGCTACGGAGTTTTGTGTTGATGGGCAAGGCTAGCTTCTTGAGGTCTCTATATAAAGACTAAGGAGGTTTGAATTCCGAAGAATTGTTGCATGACATGACGTGTTCTCTTCTTGGTCTGAGGAGTTTATCCATGAATATAACTGACTAAAATATACTTCATCCTCCGTTCTAAATATAAAAGTTACTAAACTATTTTAAGGGAAAAAAAAAATAAATATATGAAAGAAAAAATATATTGAGATTTTATATTTAGAATTAAAATAAAAGTCAAACAGAATTCTATATTAAGAATAGGAGATAATATGAATTAAGTTATTAGTTATAGCTGTCATCATATGCAGAAATTGGTTGTTTTACCTTAAAAGATTCTTTTTGAAGTCTGTCTTGTATGAATTGTGGTTGCACAAGGCTAGACAAGTGTGAGGAACTTCACAAGGCCGTCCGTGGTGACCCTTTAGTGTTAGTTTGATCCATCTGAACAAGTATGCCGGGGGAATTTTTAATTGAGCTTGCCCTTTGAAATGTTAAATCCTGAACTGAATGACCTGTCAAATGTGGTTGCATTTTCCGGAAGTCCAAGGGGCTAAACGATGGATGTAAGCATATATTTTAACATTTTACTAGAAATTGCACGGTTTGACGTGAATATTTTAATTGAATTTTGGCCAGAAACAGGGATAGGAATAGACTCAAGAATAAAGATTTGTAAAACGACCGAAACAGGCCTTTCCGGGCTGCAGTAATTGATTAATGTATAGCGAATTCTATTCAGTTGTCAGAAGGCATGTTTCGATGCAGAGTAAACAATTATTGGAAGTAATTTATGTTTGACTTGCATGATTGCACCTATTTTTCCGCCTTTGATTTTGGACTGAACGCATCAGATATACTTTATGAATTTGTTTAGATCAACATTGATTTTCTTACATTAAATTTCAGGTTGGTCTTTGCTCATTCAAAGGGTGATGAAACAAAAGTTATAAAATCTATACACGGTTGCTCTTGGGATCGGCCAAGCAAACTTCCAAGAACAATCCAACTTGTATAAATATAAAGAAACTTCATTTCATTATCTTGCTTCGATGTAGCTTGACCAGGTTAGCCAATTGCTTATTTATGAAAGTCTAAGCTGTTTTCATTCATGGCTATATTAGAATATTATATTGTTAGTGCTAGTTTGTGTTAAACAACTCCAATGTTCAACGAGGTGGTACGAAGAACTTGTTCGGCTATTTGCTTTGCTTATAAGCATAGGAGGTTATGGCAATTCTACAATTTGCAAATTATTTTATTTTGTGGGAAATAGATAACTTGATCTTTACTTGAAGTCGTTTGTTTTTTTAATCAAAATATGAACATATAGGCTTCCTGTCATGGACAGATCTAGAAGTGATTACTTGGGAGGTGAAAATTAAATTAGCATGTTAATTAATGCAAAAATATACTACTACCTCTTGTTTCTAATATAAAACCCAATTGACTAATTTGGAGATAATAAAAAGGCTAAATAAATTATTTTAAAGTATTTATATTTATTATTTTTTTCCAAACTAATTTGTTTTACTTATAAACTAATATAATATAATGATACATATAAGTATTTGGAGAGATCATGAAACATATGTTATAATTAAGTAATTTATTTAATCATTTTAATTTTCTCAAAATAATCAACTGGTTTTTAATTTTATATTAAAAACCTGAGGTAGGATTAACATATGCCACATACTTTTGTTTTTAGATTTTTGAACTTTAGCAATTTTTTTAATATAGGAAAATTCATCTATATGAGTCTCTTAGTAATCTCTTTACTATATAAGTAGTCATGCAATTTGCATGAATTCTCATCTCTATTCCTAAACTTATTATTTATGACATTTACAGTTGAAAATGATTTCTCGTTTGTTGTATTTGAAATTAGTAGAATTAATGATAACCAAAGCAAATGATAGTCAGATGATATACAAGATTTATTTAAAAATTTTGGTGATGGTTCGCATGATTGAGAGATTGTTGAGATGTTTTTGAAATTAGGATATTGAGAAATGTCGACCTCTTAATATTGTTGCTTGTATGTTGAAACGTAGCTTCTCTTCTTAAGTGAAATCTCTATACCAATTTACAAATATGATCATAACTTGTAATCATCTGTTAGAATTAAATGTCAATCACTCCACTGGGGTCTCTGATTCATTTTTGGTGATTGAGCGTTTATGGTAGATTCGTAGCGATGAACAAGTTATCATGATAATGATGCTCATTTCAAACATGTTCAAGATTTGAAAGAGGTTTACCTCGTCCAGGTGTTTCTGTGCTTAAAAACACGTCAAATATCTATATGATGCTTTGGATAGAAAGATATATTCTCTCCATTCGAAATTACTCTTTCAGTCCTTAATATAAGACCCATTTAACTAATTTGATTAGATTAAGGAAGCTAGGTATGTTAGTTAATTATAAGAAAAGTGATACATTTTTTTTAAAATACTATAATCATTTTTCTTAATACCTCCTCTCTCTTCTACTTGATTATGGTTGAGAGAGTATCTATAGAGGTAATTTAGAGAAAATTAATAAATATAATAAATGGGTCTTATATTTAGAATCAAAACCAACTCAAGAATTGAGTCCTATATTAAAGACTAGAGGAGTACAAGACATTTTTTGCTAACTTCCACCCCTCAAGAAAATAGTCAAACATCATTAAAACTTGCCTAATCTTTTTATGTCTACCCTTATTTAATGGGTAATTTAATCACAAATAAATTACAAAAATGTCTTATATTTTTTAGGTACGGAAAGAGTAGAAAAATGTCTTATAATTTCCAGCAGTGGGGGGCGTAGCTTGTAAAATTTTTGCAATCAGATTTTTTTTGTTTTAATATTAACCTTTTTCAGTGATAGATGCCAAATTTTGAGAATGAAAAAAAAATAAAAAGATGCCAAAGTTTTCAACTCATGTCTTAACCTTTATTTTACTACCTACATTCTTTCTCTGTCAGGATCTCCTTAGAGCTGCATTGAATTGTACGTGCCACCGTCCTGCTGCTTGAAGATGAAGAGGAAGATGAACAAATCTTTACATAAAAATGTGTTTCATTTTTTTTTTTTCAAAAGAAAGGGAAAAGAAAAAGAGGGGCGGGGGGGTAAGGAGTGGGTTAAAAAGGATAGAAAAAGCTTGCGGAATCAGAAGAGTTTTCGGAGCATGAATTTAAAGTCAGGTTATATTTCAAAAATTTATAAGCTACATCAATGTTGTTACCAAAAACCAAAAAAATATTAATGCTAGATGTGAGATTTTAGAAGCCTGCTCTGGTCAAAAAAAAAAAAGATTTTAGAAGCCTGCGAATCACTTGGGTATTGATTTACGAAAGATTTAGTGAAATAACTTGTTCTTCGGACCAAACACCTTTTTTCTTTTTTTCTTTTTGGGGTCAGATCAGATTAAGCACCTTTTGGAACACAAATTATAATTGTAAAAACTATGTTTTCCCAAATTATAATAATCAAGATAATGATTTATTTATTGAGATTATAAAAGATGTAGGGAAAATTTTGTTAAGGACTACCTTAGACAATTTATTTCAAAGAGCCTTTTTATAATTCTGAAATATTATTTCTGTGCAAAAAGGAAAAAATGAAATAAATTTAAGAATAAAAAAATGCTATTACCGCTCATGATACTTCTTTTGTAATTTGAAAATAAAAAGACCAAAATTTCTGACAACTTTCCTCTCTCACTTTGCATAACGTGCTCCCAAAAATTTAACCCACCAAACAGTTCCCTCTATCAACCTATGAAAACCATCAGACTTGCCATCCAAACTCTTTCTTCACTCACTCTGAAATCTCACTCACACACTCTTCCCTTTCTCAATCGCACTAGCTGTGGCACTCTGAAAAGTTGTGAAAGTCGTTCAGACGATTCATTATCATTTGTTGCGCTAGTTTTCTCAGTCTCAAAACTCGCATTTGTTATTAAGCTTAAATGGATTTGTTATTTATTGAATACAAAAAGCCTTTGTTCTGTGAGATACTTGATTATAGCTTATTGTAGTAGTAGTGGGTATCTTGTCTGGCATATTTATAAATTTGAGAATCTTGTTGCTTGAGTGGGTGATATGAAAGCTCTAATATTGTAAAAATATGTATTTGTATTATAAATTTGCAAATTCGAGTTATCTAGGAAAAAGGCAATTTGATGTTGTGAAAACTTATATTTCTGGTGTCAATCCGCAAATTCCTATTGTAAACGGTGTTTAATTATTAAAAGTTGATTGAAATTGATACTTGAGTTATGTGCGACTACGAATTATAAATGGCCAGCGGTAGTTAAAAAAACAATTATTTTGCATTTTTCATGTGAGAGGTGAATTTGTGAAAAACTTACAACCACCATTGAGTACTCGCCTTCCTCGAAGGTCTAGAACTAGAAAGATAAGATTGAATCACAATTCTAGTAGAAGAAAGTATATCATTGCTTAATATGTGTTGAAGCTAGTCACACTAGAAAAACTTGTAATAACCCAAACCCTATGTGATTTTATTGTAGAAAATAGTCTTTTTTTTTTTAATATACAGCTATTTTTGTACATGAATGAACATCAATATGTATTTTTGGATTGGTTAAGGAAGTAGCTACGACAACCCATTTGGTATTTTTGGTGATGGGTTGGAATCTATTTTGCATAGTGATGTGATAGTTAAAAAATTCCATGATAGTACTTGATGATAAACTATCCCAAATACTGCACTAAAATTGGCTGGCAACAATATAAATGTATGAAAAACTTTGTCTACTCACGAATGGACATATTTCTATTGCTGGTATGTATCCCTATTACAAATTACCTAATTCTAATTGGGAATGAAATATCCAGACTTATGCATGAGCTTTCTCTTTTAAATACTCTACTTGCGAATGGAGGATATGTAGTTAGTAACGTGCATATTCTTGTTACAAATTTTCTAATTCTAGCTATAAATAAACAATTGCTCTCACAATTATGATCAATTTGTCAATTCAACTAGCTCACTTGCAAATGAACGTGTTCTTATTTTTAATATACACATTCTTATTGCACATTCTGTATTTTCACTTATGAATGAACACTCGCTCCCAAAATTGTGATCAATTTGTCAATTCAACTAGTTCACTTGCAAATAACGTGTTCTTGTTGTTAACACGTGTTCATATTGCAAATTCTCTATTTTTAGTTGTGAATGAATATTTGCTCCCAGAATTGTGATCAATTTATCAATTCAACTAGCTTACTTACAAATAGACAAGTTCTTGTTGTTAATATACGTATTCTTATTGCAAATTTCCTAATTCCAATTGTGAATAAATACTCACTCCTAGACTTGTGATCAATTTGTTAATTCAACTAACTCACTTACAAATGGAAGTGTTGTTATTGTTAATATACATATTCTGGTTACAAATTTTCTAATTTCAGTTACAAATAGGTCCTCCTAGACTTGTGAATCATTCAACTTCTTCAATTCAACTACCTCATTTGCAAATGGATATATTGTTGTTGTTAATTTACGTATGCGTGTTGCAGATTTTTTAATTCCAGTTGCAAATAGAAGCTCCCAAACTTGTGAATCATGTTCAACTTCTTCAATTCAACTACCTCACTTGCAAATGGACGTGTTGCTGTTGTTCATACATGTATGTGTGTTGCAAATTTTCTAATTTTAGTTACAAATATGTCATCCTAAACTTGTGAATCAACATGTCCAACTTTTTAAATTAGATGAGTCTACTTACAAATAGATAAGTTTTTATTGTTAATATGCGTATCCGTGTTGTAAATTACCTAATTTCACTTGTAAATAATCTCTCTAGACTTGTTATTTTATCATGTTCAACTTTTTAGTTACATTAGCTCATTTGCAAAGAAACGAGTTTTTCTAATAAATCAATTTATCCCTGTTGCAAATTTCATAATTTCAATTGTTAATAATACATTACATACTTGTAAATTGGTGGAAAAAGACTAAAAATTATAATTAATTGGCATGCAACATGCTTATAATATATATTCTCTAAAAAGAAAATTGTGCAAATTCTTTATACACAACTTTTAACATAGTCTCAAGTAGCTTAAATTACATGTCGAATAAAAAACATAACAATTTGCTATGTCATCATTTTCTTTTTAGTTGTGTCTTTATCTGTTGTAGTTTCGCAATAGCAACTAACTTCATATTTCTTTTATGCGAGAAGTTACTAACTTCACTTGTAAATAAACTAATCTCTGTTATCAATATCCTAATTGTATACAGTTACAACAGGAATTTGCTAATCAACAATAAAAATACAAGTTTTCACAGCACCAAATTGTCATTTTCCTAGACAACTCAAATTTCCAAATTTCCAAATTTACAATACAAATACATATTTTGACAACATCAAAGCTTTCATATCACCCATTCAAGCAATAAAATTCTCAAATTTATAAATATGCCAAACAAGATACCCGTTATTACTACAATAAGCAATAATCAAGTATCCCACAGAACAAAGACTTTTCATATTCGAGAAATAATAGATCCATTCAAGCCTAATAACATATCTATATGTGAGTTTTGAGAGTGAGAGAACCAGCACAATGGGCTACTATGAATCTTCTTTAGACGACTTCCGCAACTTTTTAAAGTGTCATAACTAGCAAACAGACAATGAGTTCTAAGAGTGCACAAGGGAAGAGTGTGCGAGTGAGATTTCAGAGTGAGAGAGGGAAGAGTTTGGGGGGCATGTCTGATAGCTTTCGCAGAATAGGAGAAAGAAATGTTTGGTGGGTCAGATTTTTGGGAGCATGTAATGCAAAGGTGAGAGAGGGAAGTTGTTTTGAAATTTTAGCCCTTCTATTTTCAAATTTTTCAAGAAGTATTATGATGAGCAATAGCATTTTTTTATTCTCAAATTTATTTCATTTCCCCTTGTTTTACTGCAGTGATATTTCAGGATTATAAAGGAGCTCTTTGGAATAAATTGTCTACAGTATTCCTCAACTAAAATTTTCGCAAGAATGCGTGCTTACATAAATTCAAATTAAACAAATGTGTTCTTTAAAAAGGGAGATGATTGGCGTCTCCCACCCGCCTTGGGCTTTCTGTTCCGTTTTACTAGATCTCCTATCCAACGTAATTACATACTATTTCTCTTATTAATATAAGAAATAATTAACTAATTTAAAAAGATTAAAATAACTAAATAAATAAATAAATTATAATATATGTTATATAATTTCTTTAAAATATTTACACATATCATTAGATTACATATCAGTTTATAAGTTAGACAAATTAGTTTGGAAAATAAATATAGATAATAATATTTTAAAGTAATTTATTTCACTTCCTTAATCTACTTAAATTAATCTATAAAATCTTATATTAAAGATCTGAGATAATATATACTTTTTGAAATTTAAATATAACTGTCATAGAATAAAACCATTCTAAAAGATGAAAACCGATCAGCTAGGGGGTTTCCTGCCCCGGACCAGTCGGTAGCTTGCCTGCCGCATACATTGCAGCCTGCAGCTATATTGATATTTATATCTCAATTAATTGTTCACCAAGCAATGGTTAAATTTGAATAATATATTGATATTGATTATTTTATATACACACACATCTATGTATGTATATGTATCCATGTATACACGAATCAAACATGTAAACTAAGTGGATTGACTCGTTCACCCACAGAGTTACATAATAAGCTAAGTTTAAAATAATTAGATGAAAATGTTATTTTGAGTGAATGATAAATTTAAGCATGCCAAATTAATAGCTTAGAAGTGGAAGGACTCTTTTTCATTTTGACATTTCTACTAAATTCTCTTTCCAACGTTTCCCTTGTGAGGGGAAAAAAATCTCTTTCTTTCACTAGATGTTTCCTCTGTTAAGAATATCCTAAATTAGATAATTGAGCTAGCTTTATCTCGTTTGCTTGCAATGTACATATATTTACAAGAATACTACATCAAATTAATTACAAAAAGTAATTTCTGTCAACCTAAGAACCCAATCACTAATTTAAGCATCATTTATGGATCTTCAGATTCTGCAGTGATGTTTTGACCATTACCTGGGCGTTATTTGGGAAATTGAAGCATCGTTTATGGAACAACGTGCTTTCTGTGACTGTGATGTTGAGGATCCGTCTTCTAATTTTTCATCACTTTTTGTTGAGAAAGCTGGCTTTTTAGGCAAAGGGAGTGCCTCAGTTTCATTCTTAAGCATGGAAGAAACCTCCAGCATTGATGGCCTTTCTGCTGGAT